CTGTTTAAATACCACCGACGCCAGAATTATTAAACGACATTTTCTCAATAAATCGAAGGGTTAATACCTTATTTTGGCCTGAATTATGACCATATAATCAATTTTAGCTCCTGGTTTCAGAAATTAACATCCTGGCCTCAACTATGTAACATATAGACTCAATTGGTCCGATACCTAGTTTGACTGTCAATTTGAATGGTCAACACTATTGACCGTTAGTCAACACGCCATGTCATTGCTTCGTCAGCCTAAAAGTTATTGAAAAATTCAAATTCAAACTATTTTTTTAATTTTTATTATTTATAATCAAGTTAACAAAAAATATTTTATAAAAACATAAACTAAATTTATTTTTTTATTTTTTTGTGTAATTTGAAAATGATTAATTTTATAAATTAACCAAAAATTATCGAATTATTTTATATTTAACATTACCCAAAAATGAAATATGTAACTTATATAATATTTTTTAAATTTATAAAATTTAATTTGATAATTTTGGCTAATTTATAAAATTTATCATTTTCAAATATCCCAAAAATAAAATATAAATTTTATTTTTTGGTTAGTTTGAAAATAGTAAATAATATAAATTATGAAAATAATTTGAATTTGATTTTTTTAATAATTTTTAGGTTGACGAGGCAATGACATGGCGTGTTGACTAACGGTCAACGGTGTTGACCATCCAAATTGACGGTCAAACCATGTGTCAGGCCAATTGAGTCTATATGCTGCATAGTTTAGGCCAGAATGTTCGGGCCAAAGTTGATTATATGGTCATAGTTCGGACCAAAATAAGGTATTAACCCTAAATCGGAGGTATTGTTGATTCCTGGATTGTATCAATGTTATTTGGCAAATGGGGTATTTGGATTCAAATTTTACGTAATTTTACGTACCATAGTATATGTTATTTAGTGGGTACTATTTGTATTAAACATCATGTTTGGAAGAGGTTAGAGGTACCGGAACTGGAATTGGAATTGGTGGTGTGGTATTTCAACTGAAATTTGGTTAAACACATTTATATCTCTTTATAATGTAAACAAAATACAACTCTTTTTTTTTTTTTGTCATAGATAGGTCGAAAAATAGATTAAAGATTACAAGAGGTTGAAAAGTAAATAGCGGTAGTTAACCAAATGTTGATTTGCCGATGCAAGAGTCATTTTTGCCACACAATGAGTTCGGTTCGGGATGATTTTTTATATACACCATTTACGGACCATGATTTTTAAATATTAGTCACATACTTATCCAAAAGTAAGCGGGTTTTAGTTGTATATACCAAAATCAACTCGTATACCATCTGGGAAAACTCATTTGCATTTCTAAACAATCATATATTCAATTCCTGGTATACATAGAAAATATTATCGCAAAATATTTACGTTGGTTGACTTTATTTATGAGATATTATTTGAGTAAGTAAAGGAGAATGAAGAAGAGTTTAGGAGGATAAACATAATCCTTAAGCGATATGAACCCTCTCAATAGTGAAGTGAGATGATGTAGAGCATACTTGTGGCACAGTCAGTTGGGTTAGATGCATATACTTAAACTGTCAAACATGAATCAAACATCATTTTTCTTGTCAGGTTGGGGTAAACCTAGTCAACAAATTATCTAGGTTGAATTTTCCTGATACAATATTGTTTCAAGACTTAGTTCACCTAAAAAACATAGTCTATAACTAGATTTTTTAATCATCAAATTTTAAGCGATGATATTTGTTTGATACGATGATATAAACTATATTTATAACAAATCATTCTCTTGTAAATTTTTCCTTCTAAAATTATAGCGGTTAACAAGCAAGTTTCATAAATATTTGTAATACAAGCAAATCATAAATGATTTTTATCTTACAATTAAAGATTGTGATCGTATTGAAAATGACATTATTGATTTGTGATTAGTAGTCCTCATCCTTGAACATACAAACTCCCTGATTGTTCTCTCATCTTATTCTAAACCCCGATCTCGTCACTAATGCACAATTCAGCCCTGATTAGTACCGCATTCAGAGTGGTCAAAATATTGAGTGAGGAGACTGCCAGTGAGTTGGGCACAAAAAAAGAACATTAAAAAAGTGAAAGAAGCAAGGAATGAAGAAGACAAGGGTGGTCGGTCAAAGTCGTCGGAGAAAAGACTTGAGAAATTGTAAGTCCTCCCCTCTGTTTGTTTCAATTCCTCTTCCAAATAGATGTACATCAGTACTTTATTTTTTGTTTATGTATATCTGTATAATAAGTTGGTTTTCAATTTGCAAATTTCATATTCAAGCTCAGCTTGTGTCTAACTGTCGATCAATGTTGCATCCTTTACAGACCCGTTAGCTAGCGGGGATACAGGATAATAGAGCTAGGGGTGGAAGTTTGGGTTGCGGGTTATGGTTAATCCGCAAACCGCACCAACTCGCACCTATTGTGGGTAACCATACCCAAAAGTTATGGATAGTGGGTTGGGTGTGAGTAGTAAAATAACAATTTTTGTGGTTAGTGGTTATCCACTATCCACCGCGGTTAAGTGGTTAACCCATAAAATCCACAATGACCACACTAATTATATTTATTTAGTGAATTAACTTTATTATATAATAGTATGTGAAAAGTGTGAGGATAAAAATTAAAGTAGCCACCAAATAAAAAAGACACACATAATCAGTTTTATGTAAGAATTTTTTAGTTTATAAAACACTATAATCGATAGATTGGAGAATAATCAATTCATTAAAAGTGAACACCTTTTATAACTTTTATCAGTATGTGTTTTGCTTTTGTGTGAAAAAAATACAAGATCATATTTAATTGTCATATTTCACCCCTCGTCGGGGAAATATGAAATCACAGCTCTCTAACACAAAAGTTGAATACCAAACTCAAAAAGAAAAAAATCTCCACATTGAGTAAGATCGATGTACAAAATTGTATCTCCACGAACAACACAAGTGTATATCACTATAGTCTAGTTACGAACAACAAATACGTTAGTGGCGACTAGAACTCTATGCTTGCAAAGATGGATTTTTGCGGGTAACCACACCCAACCTGCACAAACCCACAGTGGGTAGTGGTTACCCACTAACGACTGCGGTGCGGGTTGTGGGTAGCATAATTGTAAATTTGTGGGTGTGGGTACCCGCAAAATGTGGGGCGAGTAACCACACCCACCCCAATTTCCACCCCTAAATAGAGCACTGGGCTGCATCTGAATAAAGTACTGGACATGGTATAGTTTTCATTACAATGTCAACTGTACATGACGGTCTTTTAATTCATCAAATAATAGGCCGCATCCATCCCTGTTTCCACTAGCTTCCCTAGTAATTTTGCAAGGAAAGAAACTTCATATTCCTAACTATGAACCACATGAGCTACATAATAGACTTCAAAGTCTCGATGATAAACTATGAAACAAGTTAAATATTTTCTTTATCAAAAGATCGAAAATAACTTTTAGGATCTAGTGCACCACTCGTTCTAACACAGAAGTGTGAGATTTAGTTTAGAGGGTTTTTTTTATTTCATTGTGTATTTATTCTTTCCAAATGAAAATTATTAGGGCTAGAATTTTTAGTCTAAATTTAAAGTAGTGGTTTCGATATTTATACCATTTTTCAAGTTACACAAAATCTTATTATCAAATAACATTGGACCGACTTTTAAATATCACTGGACTGAACACTTAAAATCCAAAAATTCATACGTATTATACTAGCTCTGGACCGACGTAGGGTTGGGCCATGACCCGGGATGCTCCAGCCCTAGATCCGCCACTTCCCGTAGCATCATGTTGTCTGCAAAAATCAAAGTAACAAAACCGGCACATTTTAAAGTTTGCCCTTATAGAGAGTGGTTCAATGGACATTAGCATCAACCATTCGCACGGTCGGGATTCAGTTTATCATAAATTCTTAGCCAAAATTTTTACTCTTCTTTGCTCTCTTAGAACTTGAATGAATCACTTGATAAGGCTGGTGGAAGGGTCTATTAGAGACCTAATTTTCAAGATTAGGTAGTAATTGGAGGAAGTTTCCTGATTCATGATATTGATATCCTGATTAAATTATGGATTAATTAGCTTTTCATGTCTTTGTTAACAAATGATAAACGTAATTATAGGGGAAAACTAGCCTCTTGCCATATCATGTCTCTTTCACCACATTGTTACAAAATCCATATTGAAAGAAAGACTTCTCGATGCCCCTCAATCATATTCATAGTTGATCAATTTGGCTTACATTTTTTTTTTTCAAACTAGAGGAATTTTGATAATAAAACAATCTAGCTAGCTGGTCCTAGTTTTTTTATATATTATAAAATTGATGGAATTAACAATATTCAAGAAACATCACTACAAGTCTACAATATAAGCTAGCTGGCCCCTCTCATTTGTTGTCACCCAATCCCAGATGCAATTATCTATCTATCTATCTAAATATCCATATATTGACAACAAAATTCTGATTAGGCTAAGTTGAATATAATTTCCTTTGTATTATTATTATTTTTCTTCCAAATAATTAAGTTGGAAAAGTAATACCAAGTTCAGACATAACATAATTATTTATTCAAAAATTTATATTAGTCGTTTATCACGATACACAGATTAAACAAAATTAAATTTACCATAATCGAATTTACGTTCGTCACTTCGTCTCATAGAATAAAAAATATAATAGGAAAATCACTTCTCATTATAAAACAAAGCATTTTCCATCGAACACGTATTGTATTTGAATAATGCAATTTTTATTCAAATACCATCTAATCTCTCTCTCTCAATCCAAATAAATGCTTGATTAGCCTGGTTTCACTAAAGCAAGAACTTACACTTGAGGGTAATTACTAATTTCAACATGTACCAAGTGTAGTTTGGACTTGAGATTTTATTCTCACTTTCCAATTTCCATAAACGGAAAAAATTTCAATTTCCACTCATTTAGCCACGACCGGTCTCGCTCTATAAAATGCTCTGCCCCCTTCTTCCCTTTCTCCGCCGGTTAGCAACCAAACACCCAACCAACACACACATTAGCCACACTTTTCTTCTTCATCGCTGTAAATCCATCTACCTAGCAATGGCGCATCTTGTTGCTCACTTAGCCTTGAAGCTCATGATCATACTCCTACTCTTCTTCCCAATAGACCAATCCAACGGCTGTTTGGACGACGAGAAAGTCGCACTTCTCCACCTCAAATCCTCCTTCAATTCAACCGCTCAAGAGGAACTCAACCACCCAACAACGGAAGATTGCTGCTCCTGGCAAGGAATTCAATGCAGCCAAACCACCGGCAGAGTCATCTCCATCGACCTCTTCGATTTTCAGATCCCAGAAACAGAGTCCAGGTGCCTCAACACAACTCTGTTTCTCCCCTTTCCGCAGCTCGCCCGCCTCTCTCTCGCTCACGGCAGTCTGGTCGATTGCCCCGAAAAAAACCACGGTACGTACTGTACAGCTCAGCGAGTTATTGGGACGAACTGATTTTTACACAGCTCAATTATGATGTGTATTGTGCTGTCACAGGTTTGGAAGGGCTACCGGTACTTCCCCATCTGGAGATCTTGGATTTGAGCTTCAACAAGTTCACTGGCAGCATCCTTTCCTCCATAAGAGTCCTTCCTTCGTTGAGGACATTGAGGTTGCGCGGCAACGGCATGGACGGTGTCGATAATCTCCGAGGTAGCCTCCGATGTATGTTATCAACATTATTTCGTTGTTAGAGGTTCATGTATGGTACTTAACCACTTCCTTACATCATAAACTCTGAGTTTTGAATTACGCATTTTGATCTGCCATTTCCAGGATTATGCAGTTTGAAGCAGCTTCGAGTTCTGGATCTATGGAACAACCACTTCGCCGGAGAACTGCCGGAATGTCTGGCCAATTTGACATCTTTACAAAGTTTGGACCTTTCAGACAATCATTTCACCGGAGACATTTCTCTGTCCCCATTGGGAAGCCTTATGTCGATTTCAGAATTGCGGCTCACCTACAATTCGTTCAAGATTCCCTTTTCACTGTCCCCATTTTTCAACCTCTCCAAGCTCAAAACCCTCTACGCCGACCACAACCAAGTTATCTACAGCGATGGAGGAAAGAAGAACTCTGCATTCCTCTCTGCTCCAAGCTTCCAGCTGCAGACTCTGTACCTCTCTGCCACCGAGGGTCACGGTGGTGACAACTTCCCTGCATTTCTCCACCATCAGCGGGAGCTGCAAGTGCTACACATCTCGAACGTTCGGATTGCGAACGATGGGTTTCCAGCCTGGCTGCTACGCAACAATTCCAGGTTAAGAGAGCTCAACCTCGTCAACGATTCGCTCTCCGGCGGTCTAGAGTTTCAGCCGCATTGGAACCTGATTCAATTGGACATCTCCGACAACAACTTGGAAGGTCCGATTCCGAGTAATATTACGAATTTCCTGCCGAATATGTCATCGTTAGTCATGTCGAACAACGGATTCAATGGCAGAATTCCGCCATTCGAGAGCGGGAAGCTGATGTACTTGGATCTGTCAAGCAACAAGCTATCTGGTACGTTACCGGGGACACTAGCCAAGGGGTGTCCGTTGCTAAGAACGCTTGTACTTTCAGGAAACAGATTGGATGGCAGACTACTCGAGTTTGAGTTGCAGAGTTTGAAGACATTGAGATTGGATCACAATCAATTTCAGGGGAGCATTCCAATTGGGTTGTCTAGGAGCCCTGCATTGAACTTCTTGGATGTCAGCAACAACGATCTCTCCGGTACGATCCCTTCGTGGCTGTCGACGATGCCTTCTCTCGACGTGTTGGACCTCTCAGGCAACGATCTCGTCGGAGAGCTGCCTAGAGGGCTCCCTTCTCCCTGGATGACACAGGTTTATCTATCAAAGAATCGTCTCGTCGGACAGTTTTTGATTGATTCGATCAGCAACGAATATCGACTGTTGATACTGGATGTCAGTCACAATCGACTGTCCGGACCGGTTCCTAGGCAGATTGACAAAATGTATCGATTGAGGTACATTCTGCTGAACAACAATAGCTTCCAGGGGGAAATGCCGATTGGAATGTGCAAGTTGGAGCATTTGAGGCTCATCGATCTATCGAGCAATGGCTTCTCTGGAGACATACTCCCCTGCATCAAGACTCACGCACACTGGTCACGGTTGGAAGGAGATGATGAGATTGGATTCCTGGGAGCAGCGACGCCAGCCATCGAACCAATGGAGATTACGACGAAAGCGTTTCCGTACTCTTACCAGGGTCGAAACCTCCTCCTGATGTCTGGCATTAACCTGTCAGACAACAACTTTACCGGTGAGATTCCCGAGGAGTTCGGGAATCTAACCAGCATTAGGCTCTTGAACTTGTCACACAATGCACTCACCGGGTCGATTCCATCGACATTCTCGAATTTCGAGCAGATCGAGAGTTTGGATCTCTGTCACAACAATCTGACTGGGCCTATCCCCACGCAGCTGGTGGATCTGAACTCTCTGGCTGTTTTTAGCGTGGCGTACAACAATCTGTCTGGGAGGACCCCGGAGAGGATTGCACAATTCGCGACTTTTAACGAGAATTGCTACGAGGGAAACCTTTTTCTATGTGGATGGCCGCTACCGAAGAAGTGTACTCCGGGGTCCCCGCCGCAGCCATTGCTGCCGACGGAGAATGGGGGTGACGAGGACGATGATGATGGTGAGGTGATCGATATTGAGGTTTTTGTGTCGAGTTTTACGGTGTCGTTTGGGATGGTGTTGGCAGCGATCGCGATGGTTCTGTACATAAATCCTAACTGGAGGAGGAGGTGGTTTTACCATGTGGAAGTGGTGATGGAAGGTTGCTATTACTTCATGGTGGATCATCTTCCGGTGCCGGAGAAGTACAAAGTTTTGGACCCCTCTTCTGGAGGGCTGTCATGGCAGTAGGTTAGTAGATTGTGGTAGGCTTTTTTAGCATGGTGGGAATTCACTTGTAAAATTGTTTGATTGAGTTGTAGTAATAGTAGTTCTAGGTTTCTTGGCATACTAATTGGCAACTTTTCCCTTACATATTGGATTGGTACACTGGTTTGTGAAATTGTTCGATTTGGTGTACTAATGAGTTTGTGACAATGCTACTCAGAATAAGCATGAAGGTGAACTACGCCAGGGTTGTTTGAAAACGGAATTTTGATGAGTTGAGATCGGACAACACGAGGGTTTGTATCGATCGGTTTGAGTTAGTATGAACGCGTTAATAATTTCGTGGAATTGATCCAGTAGCTCATTGTTTGTACTCTGCTAGTAAATCTTGAAAAACTTTATAGTAGCCAAAGGAGAGTATTGAATCTAGATTCCGCTTATGTATAATTTGTATGGAATCTAGAAAGGATCTGACAATTTTTTTTTTTTTTTGTATTTGTTTTGCAGTTTTTTAGTTGCTTTCCAAGATTCTGGTAGCTCATTGAGTTTAGTTCTTGGAATTTTGTTGATGCAGTCATTTCACAAAACAAAAGATGGTTTAAAAAGAACATCAAATAAACCTCATTTCCTCTAACACAAGTTAAACCTTCCATTTCTTGACAAACAAGTAAAATATTCATGCATACACATTAACCATAATGATCTAGAAATCAATACCCAAAGCGAAATTGTTATCTCGTTGACTTCAGTTCTTAGGATTTTGTTGATGCAGTCATTTCACAGAACAAAAAATGGTCTAAAAAATAACTTCAAATTAACCTCCTTACCTTTAACACAAGTTACATCATCCATTTCTTAGTAAACAAGTAATTAATTCATTCAAACACGAACCTTAATGATCTAGAAATCAGAACTCAAAGCGAAAAGGTACAACAACAAAACTCTTAACAGCGCGTAAGAAACAGAATCCAGCCGATCGGCAATGGCTGCCCGCACAGCAGTACAGATCACCATCCGTCCCTAATTGCAGGGGCAGCAGCGGGAGAGGGAGGACAAGCGATCGGCAATGGCTCCCCGCACAATCCACGGTTTCCTTCGAAACCCGACGCAGGGAAATTGTAAAAACCTCGAGGAATCGTTCCCGCCAACTGATTCCTCGACACATTGAACTCCCTCAAGCTGGTGAAGCTCATCTCTCCAGGTATCTTCCCGCTAATCTGATTGTTCTGTGCAAAAAATGCAGTAACGTTCGACATTGTCCCGAACCCACTCGGAATTGGCCCGACGAGCCGGTTATCCGAGACATCGACCCACTCCAGGTTGGTTAAAGAGGAGATCGAACCGGGGAGGAGGCCTTGGAGCCAGTTTCCTCCGAGCATCAGGTGGGTCAGGCTGGTGCAGTTGGCCACCTCGGAAGGAATCGGCCCGGAGATTCCGTTGTTTGTGAGGTCCAGTCTCCTGAGCGACTGGATCCTGCACAGGGGTTTGAAGTCCAGAGTTCCCGCGAGGTCGAGCTTGGGCAAGCCCACGACCACGACTCGGCCATCCGAGTCGCACAGGACCCCTGCCCAATCCCTGCAGGGGTCCGAGGTGTCGTTCCAGCCCCAGTTGGAGTGGGGCGGGAATGTCTCCGAGAGGGATTCCATGAACTGAAGGAGTGATATCCTTGTGGCGTAGGATTCTGAAGTGGAGGGTTGTGGTAAGGTTAGGAAGAGGAGGAGAAGGGATGAGATTAGGAGGGCTGATTTGTGGATCTTTTGGGCCATTTTTTTTTTTTTTTTTTTGGTTAGGGAAGAGTTGAGGTTTTGGGTTGTGTTTGAAGGTTTGTGGTATTATTTTGCCTACTTATATATGGTGGTGAGAAGTAAATGGTGGTCTGAGACTTCAATGCCGTCAGGGAGAGAATCCAAGAGGAAGAAGACAATGGAGGAGGAAGTCTCAATGTTAAGAACAAGGTAACTGGAGAAGGACGTTTGCTAGTGACCAGAGAATTACAATACTGGACAAGGAGATGGTTCTGAAAATTGGAGGGGAAGTAACAACAATGTACTTGGACTTCGAATTATAAATATTTCTTTAATAATTTGTTGAGTAGATACACTCATTAACTTCCAAATATGACATCTGGCTGAAATTATCAATATAATGAACACATTTAACATCTGTATTATCATCTTTAAGCAATTCGATTGTGTTGTACGTTGTTTAATGACTGTATATTGAGACCAAGGTTTGGGAATTGGGATAGATTAAGGGTCGAAACCAGTGTTTGCTAAACAATATCGTACCATCGTGATGTGATCATCGCATATGCGGCAAAGGGTCAAGATCCACAAGTTCAATTCAATATTAACCTTAACATGTATTGTTATGAACACCAATCAAAAAGACAGATCAAAGGTAATAGCAACCATTTCTATGAAAAAGCAAAGGAAGACATTTTAAGTGTTCCATGTGATTGTGAAGATCTCTGCCCTTTCTCACGAGCTTTATCAAACCCATAAACTAGTATTGGATCTCTTCAAACCAGCTAAGTACTGATTTGGAGTTGTTTCCTCGGGAAAACCAAATGCCACCGCCTGTGCCGAATTCGTTTCCGACGATGTTGATTTGATGTTTCGCCGTGGAAACTCTTGCGGTGCCGTTTGATCGGAAGCACCGCTGATTGCTGAAATCGAGACGACCGTCAAATATCCGCAGTCGAATGTCGGCGCCGTTGATTTGATCGATGCACCTCTAAATGGTGAAATCAACGTGACCGTCAAATATACACCACCGGTGTCGGCGATGTTGATTTGATCGATGCACCTCTGACTTCTAACCAAGAACGACCGTTACTACGGTTCGCACCTCTCCAAACTACGTTCGAACCAGGGTGTTTGAGTTTTGAGGAATCTACGCTACCGCTACTCCTATGGAGATTCCTGTGGAGAGCTCCGCGACTACGACTAAGACTACAACTATGGAGATCCTTCCTGGAAGGAGAGCTCCGCGAAGGAGTTACAGAGAAAAAAGGTAAAGTTTGACAGATGTGTTTCTGTGTTGATTTCGTTGTCCTCTTCTCTCTCCTTGCTCCACTGCTTTTATTCGAAAAACACCTTCGTAGTCTTCACGCTCGGTGAAACCGCTTCTCAACTGCTCCGCTGTGAACTCCCACGTGTCTCAACCGCTTCGTTCCTTAAACTGCTTCGCGTGAACTTTACGTGAGTTGTTTTCATGATCCCGCGATGTCGTTTCCTTTCCCAAACAGCTCCGTTTGTTTTTTCCTCGCGACACTGTTATAATATTAAACGACTCCGCTTCCAGTCTCGCGGTGTCGTTGGCTCACTCGAGCTTGTTCTCCACGCAACGACCTTGTCGTCTACTACTACGACATCGTTTGTGTTGCAATATCTCGCGACATTGTTTTTACTAAACACTGTCGTTACCATTGAGCTTACTCGCGGTACCGTTTTGAATTAAACGACACCGCCGATATAGCCAAAAAATATTAATCCATGGAACCGCCGCAGTCGGCGCTCGCATTGGGCCGGGTGAATTTTGGTCACCTGCCCGATATGATTTTTCAATTAATCGGTACCGCTTACCAGGCTCTCGCGGCACCGTTTTTAAATCCGCGGTACCGTTTTAGCTCTCCGCGATACCGCTTATCTCCATGCGGTACCGATTTTCCCCTTCCAACAAGGAATAAAAATAATAATTAAATAATCAAAACTCCTCCTCTAACCTAACTACACGCGCATCCCTTTTTCTTTTTATTAAGTGGTGTCGTTTCTCATGCCGCGGTACCGCCGAGCTCCCTTGCGGTACCGTTTTAACTCTCCGCGACACCGCTTAACTCCAAACGACATCGCTTTTAACCCGCGGTATCGAATTAAATGCCGAGACTAATTAATGCGGCATTTAATTTCGGCCAAATTAATTTTAGGTGTCAACAAATGCCCCCCACAACTTGGTTTATAAGAATTATGAACCAAGTTGTTGACATAATCCAATCACCTAAATTAATTTTATATCAAAATATGCTATTCCAACGCTAGGCTAATGCATGAAATTGATTAGTCCTGCAATGTTGGTAGGGATAAGTTTGACCAACGCGTCCCACCAATTTTGAGCCTCTTCCGCACAGATGTCACATTCCAGCAATGTTACCTTCCCCACCACGATTGGCAGCCAAAACATCAATTCTCATCGACGCTTATCTCTTAGCCCTTAACCAAAGCTGTTAGGTGGCTTAAAATCCCACGATGCTACAGGCCGAAACAAATACACAGCCCTGTTAATTTCCCCCGTGGCGCAGCGGATTAGCGACCTAAGTTTTATTATAATTATTATTTGTTTCTCACTTGCTTTCAACATTGCGGCAGGCTTCCAAAAGCTTCTCGGACTCTCTTTCTTTGCCAACAACTCTGCGGCACTCTCACTAATGCCGCTTTCTCTCCTTTTTATCCCCAATAGAATTGCAATTGTAGCCCTGCTCGGTTTTTTCCTTTTTTCTAGGTACAGCTCTGCTCGGCTAAAATAACCGTGCTTGGATTTTTTTTTTTTTGTTATTTTAATGGCCCTAAAGCAAAAATCAGCCAACACAATTCCACGCAACACTGTTCAACGCATGATTATCCAAAACACAGACTAGTGGTGGCAGCGCATCACTGTTTGGACCTAGTCTCCCCAGGATCCGATTTTTACTCTCGTGGTTGCCAAACAACGCTTTCGGCCAAACAACGTTGCCAAGACCTATCGCAACGCTGCGGATTTTTTTTTTTCATCCGTATTGCGGCAACGCTATTTAGGCCGATATAATTTTTCCTCTGCTACATCTTAGCATTTTATTATTATTTTATTTCAGCAATGCTGTTGCGGCCACGGGTCTGCACGGCTACACAAGATTGTTTTGGTCCATAACAACGTTGCTTTGGCCACTATCAATTTTCCGTTGCCCGCAACGTTGTCTTAAGCTATTACGTTGAAACTATATTTTCTATCCACAAAAAACCCTCAATGTTGCGTTGGACCAAAACGGTGGTGCTTTGATTTTTTTATTTTTTTTTTTTCATTCCGCAACACTGCAACCAGCCATTACCCGCAACGCTGTGACGAGCTTTACTAAAACGCAGTGAATTTGTCCCCACACCACAAAGCTGCGAAGAGCAGAACAACCCTGCATGCTTTTCTCATAGTTCAAATGACCATTACATTGGCCTTACGTATCTTTCTTTTATCTTTATTTTTATAAAACTCATAAGCATGGTTTCTCACAAAAGTAAAACGAGGAACCAATCTAACAACAATGTGGCAGCTGGCAGCATTGTTTGGCCTCTTTTAAATATGTACTTACTCGGCCAATTATGAATTTTTTTTTATTGCTCGCAAGGCTGCGGCAAACTTCACAGCGCCGTTTGAGCTCCTTTTTTCTCTCTTGCAGCGCTGCAAACTAACCAGGCCTGATGTTAGTACGACTTTTTTTTTTCCTTCTCTTTCAAAAGTCCCGCAACACTGTTTAGAGAAACAGCGGCGTAATACTTTTTATTTTAACAATATTATTTTCCTATGCGAAAATCAAATTTTTTTTCAATCAGGTCCGGAACAATTCTGCTGCATTTCACCATGGTGTTGTGTCATCCGCTTTGCGGTCACCACAACGTTGGTGAGAAATAAAGCACCACTGTCGGACCTGGAAACATGCTTGTTTCCTTTGCAATTTTTTTTTTTTTACACATATATATCATGTGGCCTAAATTAGCTATATTTTATTTGTTACTAATACATAAATAACCAACAGATTAGACTTTGGCATAAACCATCATGCCAAAGGTCCACACCCACTGCCAACTCCACGGATCAAACCACACAAGCCATCCATGAATACTCTCACTAGTCCCAGCTAGCTCTACACACATTGGTTTAGATTTTTTGCAATCATAGCTGGCTTGCAACTTTCCAGTTTGTCCAGCTCGAGCACCCTTGTTCGAGATTCCACGAGTTCGATTTTGCTTCATCTTAGCCACAGGGCCGTGACAGAGAAAATCACCAGTGTTTTTTACTCTCGGCGGGACATTGGAGTTTTTTAACGTCTTTGTCCTACCAAATCGACCATGTGGCATCGCTTGCCCAGACTGATCTTGTTTTGTCATCTGCACACACTCACGACGTTGTTGAGTTTGAGGCTTACGAGCTTCATCAACAATCATGTGGTTATTTTGATTTTTGCACTTATCACATAACCACTTGGTATCTTTTGAATTTTCACGTGTGATTGGAATTTTTCGGGCATTTAGCTTGCCCCCTGCCCAAAAATCATGGAAGACTTGTTCCCATCCAGCATTGGCGTGGCAACCCCATGTCGGGTTTGCTTGAACTTGCCCCCCTTTTCACTAGGTGGAGTCTTTGGGGACAACTTACATGGAGGATTCTGTTGATTCATCCCAACCCTTGCAGGATTGGTTTTATTCACGTGGTCACCACCTCCATCTTGAATGGTGTCTGTGGTGACCCTAGCTTGATTTTTCTTAGAACAAGGTGGATGTGGCAAACTTATTTGCCATTTACAGTGTTGTTTCTCCTTCGATCTACCACGAGCTGGGATGGCATGCCCCCCTAGCGGCTTAGATTGAACAATGTTGTAAAATTTGTCATCTTTCAAGATATCACACTTGTTTTTCTTAATTTTCTAAAACTTATTATGAACACGTTTAAATTTTGTTCTTAGTTGTGGCTTTCGCAAGACCGCTCTAACTTTCCTGTCCTTCAAAACAATAGTGTTCACAGGAGAACCAACATGAGATTTGTTGGCCCCTAACGCCACTGTTTTAGCCACAAGTTTAAGTGAGTCCTTATTGGCAATACCGGAAACATGTTCATCTATCATCTCAAAAAATTTATCCATATGTCTTCCAAGAGAATCACACGGCTTATTTAAAGAGATAAAATAGAGATTTACCTGCTGGTAATACTCCTCCACGACTCGACGAAGAGACAAGAGTGCAACATGCCCGTCAGTGCTCGACATGGATTGAGGCCACTCCTTCAACCGACCGATATGTCCATCCGCCTCGTCCGCCTGACCAACTTCAGTATTGGTCCTTTGCTCGTCCAGAAATTGTTGTGGAAGATCGCAATCTTGTTTTTCTCGCCGCAGAGCCATTTCAAACACACGTGTCCCACCAGGTGTGCCAAATTGTTTCCTCGGGAAAACCAAATGCCACCGCCTGTGCCGAATTCGTTTCCGACAATGTTGATTTGATGTTTCGCCGTGGAAACTCTTGCGGTGCCGTTTGATCGGAAGCACCGCTGATTGCTGAAATCGAGACGACCGTCAAATATCCGCAGCCGAATGTCGGCGCCGTTGATTTGATCGATGCACCTCTAAATGGTGAAATCAACGTGACCGTCAAATATCCACCACCGGTGTCGGCGATGTTGATTTGATCGATGCACCTCTGACTTCTAACCAAGAACGACCGTTACTACGGTTCGCACCTCTCCAAACTACGAGGGTGTTTGAGTTTTGAGGAATCTACGCTACCGCTACTCCTATGGAGATTCCTGTGGAGAGCTCCGCGACTACGACTAAGACTACAACTATGGAGATCCTTCCTGGAAGGAGAGCTCCGCGAAGGAGTTACAGAGAAAAAAGGTAAAGTTTGACAGATGTGTTTCTGTGTTGATTTCGTTGTCCTCTTCTCTCTCCTTGCTCCACTGCTTTTATTCGAAAAACACCTTCGTAGTCTTCACGCTCGGTGAAACCGCTTCTCAACTGCTCCGCTGTGAACTCCCACGTGTCTCAACCGCTTCGTTCCTTAAACTGCTTCGCGTGAACTTTACGTGAGTTGTTTTCATGATCCCGCGATGTCGTTTCCTTTCCCAAACAGCTCCGTTTGTTTTTTCCTCGCGACACTGTTATAATATTACACGACTCCGCTTCCAGTCTCGCGGTGTCGTTGGCTCACTCGAGCTTGTTCTCCACGCAACGACCTTGTCGTCTACTACTACGACATCGTTTGTGTTGCAATATCTCGCGACATTGTTTTTACTAAACACTGTCGTTACCATTGAGCTTACTCGCGGTACCGTTTTGAATTAAACGACACCGCCGATATAGCCAAAAAATATTAATCCATGGAACCGCCGCAGTCGGCGCTCGCATTGGGCCGGGTGAATTTTGGTCACCTGCCCGATATGATTTTTCAATTAATCGGTACCGCTTACCAGGCTCTCGCGGCACCGTTTTTAAATCCGCGGTACCGTTTTAGCTCTCCGCGATACCGCTTATCTCCATGCGGTACCGATTTTCCCCTTCCAACAAGGAATAAAAATAATAATTAAATAATCAAAACTCCTCCTCTAACCTAACTACACGCGCATCCCTTTTTCTTTTTATTAAGTGGTGTCGTTTCTCATGCCGCGGTACCGCCGAGCTCCCTTGCGGTACCGTTTTAACTCTCCGCGACACCGCTTAACTCCAAACGACATCGCTTTTAACCCGCGGTATCGAATTAAATGCCGAGACTAATTAATGCGGCATTTAATTTCGGCCAAATTAATTTTAGGTGTCAACAGGAGTACTAGAAAATTTCAAGTTGTTAACCATCTTCAAACTGGGTTGACATACGATTACAAGTAAGAAATTAGGGGGCACCAATACACAGAGAAGACTTGGCCCACTTCCATCATAATGCAGTGAAATGGCAACAGCACAGATAAGGTGTCGACAGCAAAAACAGTCTGCTCTGTGCTCATAACGATACCAACAATCGCAAACATCACAATAAAGGAAGTAGGAATCCATCAGACACAAATGGTAACAGTTCCGACCATCAATTATTCAACAAAGAAACAAAACCCAGCAGACATCATTGTTCAAAGGCCATTACCATGACCAAACATAGTACTTGAGGATAAAAAGAGAACATGAAACGACCAATCCATAGAAACCAGAAACTTGAACAGTCAAGAAATCATAAACCAGCACCAGATATAGCGAACCGCCCTCAAAAGCCACCACGGAGACGCAGGACAAGGTGGAGAGTAGATTCCTTCTGGATATTGTAATCCGCCAGAGTCCTTCCATCTTCCAATTGTTTCCCTGCAAAGATCAGCCTCTGCTGGTCCGGAGGGATACCTTCCTTATCCTGAATCTTGGCCTTCACATTATCAATGGTATCACTGCTCTCTACCTCCAGGGTAATTGTCTTCCCAGTCAGGGTCTTGACGAAGATCTGCATGCCTCCCCTCAATCGCAGGACAAGGTGAAGGGTAGACTCCTTCTGAATGTTGTAATCAGCTAGAGTCCTGCCATCTTCAAGCTGCTTCCCTGCGAAAATCAGCCTCTGCTGATCTGGGGGAATCCCTTCCTTGTCCTGGATCTTAGCCTTGACATTGTCGATGGTGTCGCTGCTCTCCACCTCCAGGGTAATGGTCTTTCCAGTCAAAGTCTTCACAAAGATCTGCATTCCTCCCCTCAGACGAAGGACCAGATGGAGAGTGGACTCCTTCTGGATGTTGTAATCAGCAAGTGTCCTTCCATCTTCCAGCTGCTTCCCTGCAAAGATCAACCTCTGCTGATCGGGAGGAATCCCTTCCTTGTCCTGGATCTTAGCCTTGACGTTGTCAATGGTGTCGCTGCTCTCGACCTCCAAAGTAATAGTCTTTCCAGTCAGGGTCTTCACAAAAATCTGCATACCTCCCCTGAGACGCAGAACCAGATGAAGGGTCGACTCCTTCTGAATATTGTAGTCAGCCAAAGTCCTCCCATCCTCGAGCTGTTTTCCAGCAAAGATCAGCCTCTGCTGATCCGGAGGGATCCCTTCCTTGTCCTGGATCTTAGCCTTGACATTGTCAATGGTGTCGCTGCTCTCGACCTCCAGAGTAATGGTCTTTCCGGTCAAGGTCTTGACAAAGATCTGCATCTGTTAAATCGCAACCAACGAGGAAACCCTAATTTAGCAATCCCGAACGAAATTTCAACCACACCCGCTAAACCCTAGCTACAACCGACCTAACATCGGGAGAGATTAACGATTCAAACATGGCAATCGAATCAACAAGAACGAAGGAACCCTCAATTCTCATAGCCAAGAAATCCCGATTGGCAATCGAAAATGCAGAACAACGAAGACTAGTTCCCAAAACAGATATTCAATCAAGAAATCAAAAAGAGGAAACCAGAACGGAAACTTGAGAAGATCGAAGAGAATGAGGATTCGTTACCTTGAGAAACTGGGAAAACGAAGGTCTGTCAGGCCAGAGAGATTTCGAATTGTTTGGAATGAACCGTGGTGAAGAAAGATATTGATTGGGGTTTCAATTTATAGGAACTTGAATTGACCGACTTAGATTCGCAGAACCGATACAAGCGGACACGTGTGACGATTTTTTTTTCTTGTTTTACAATAGACACGTGTGACGACTGAAAGGGTTAAACTTAAAAAGTCTTTATGTAGTCAAGGACTTTTGGTCTCGGTTTGGGCTCTCGTTTGGATCGTGAAGATGTAGTGTGGGCTTTAAACTAGGAATGGCAATGGGTAGGTCTGGGGCGGGTTTCTTGGTACCCAGACCCGCCCCGTGGCAGGTCGGGTCCAGGTCGGGTAATTGATCATGGATCGTGGGTGGGGTAGGTCGACCCAATACGTATGCAATTTATATTACAAATATTAGAAATATTCATTATTTTTATTATAAGACTAAGAAAACAAACAATATTATGACAATTGTAGTTAAATTATTGGAGAAATTGAGGTTTTCACTAATTTACAACTTTCTTATAGCTAAAATATGATGTAATAAAAGAAAAATCCTAAATAATTTGACTAAGATTACATGTAATTTAGACAAGAACGGGTCGAGAATGGGGCGGGTCAAGGTAGGTCGGGTCGATGAGACTATCCATTCCCGCCCCGCCCCAAAACAGGTCAGGTCGAAATTGCCATCCCTACTTTAAACTACACTCAATGAGTTGAGTTCTTGGATTATCTCCGAGTCTCCGACCCAATCAGCAATTGATAATCTCCACATCTCTACACATAATATAATACGCTGAAGGGAAAAACAGGAGTCCCATTTCAAAATCCCTGCCTCCAGAGCGTTTCTCGGAGGGGTAGTTACGGAAACTAAAAAATTAACTCGGCTTCCTATTGCGACGTTCGGGCCTGTTGGTTTTTTTGGTGCAGACAATCTGACCAGCTTTATATCCATCCTCCGTCATTGCCGCCAAAATCAGCCAGTATCTGAACAACACTCCCTCATAGCATGGTGCCCATTCATTGAACTACAGTTCTGAAGATAATCGAACTCGGTCATTCATCTTCGCCGCTGAATTCAGGAAGTAGCCGAGCGGCGCTCTCTCACAGCCTGTCGCAATCGCGTTCTGCAACGGGGATCCGACAACCGCTCATCTCCTCATGCACCAATTGTTTTTTCGAACAGCTGTCTCCCTCATGAAATCGTAGCCAATGGATTGATTACTGCCCCCGATTGATTGCTCGCCAGTTCCCTTACTGCAACCCCACCACTGAATCAAATCAAGAGAATTACGATTACGACAACGCCTAGGGATATCCCGAACCTCTTCGAACGATCCACTACCCTCGCCTCTGATTCTTCGAAAACGCAACCCCACCACTGAATCAAAGCAAGCAAGTTACGAAAGCGAATGTGGATTTCCTGAGCCTCCTGAAACGACCCACTACACTGGCCTCTAATTTTTGGAATCGCATCCTCCATCGGTAAGGATTACCTTTGTTCTACTGTACTTCACTATGGTATTAGAACGCCTAAGAGTCTTATATCAGTGTACTATCTCAGTCGGGAATAGGTGAGGAATCTAAGAGCGGCGTGATTGTGATCTCCTCGATGGCTTGAAGCACCCATTCAGTCCACGAAAAACAACACCTCCTGGAACGTAAGCACCCACTACACTGGTAAGGATTTCTTTCTCTCCCACGTAGTGCAGCTGTGTAATTGGAACGCCTCTATCTCAGTTGTGTATAGGTGATGAATGATTGAAACCATCATCGTATTTACTTCGCTTATTGTTGGGTTTTGAAGATTAGATTATATAAAGTACTGCTATCATTCAATATCTACAAACGACCATGTATTTCTTTTTCATTGTTTTTTCTTCTTCTTTGAGTATGCAAGTTATAGATTTTGGATAATCTCTGAATAATGACGAGCTTGATTGTTTATGTCGATAATTAGTTGTGGTTATGTTTTCTCCCTAAACTAAATGTTGGGAGGCGTTCAACCTGAACAATGAACTTGGTAATGAGTCTGAGACTAAGGGAAGATGGCAACACTTGGTACTGGGAAAGTGGGGAAGATGTGGGAGAAAAGGGTTACAGATGTAGATGGACTTCCATGGGAGGCGAATCGTAGGATGTTTCGTTACAATGGAAAGAAATGGTATGAAACTACAATCAAATGATAACGGGCATATGGTGAATAAATAATGATTATGTTAATCCAACCTCTACTTATCTTGATGCTGCATTAGTTGGATTTGTGTTCTTCCAATCGTTTATAATCATATTTACAATCCATTGTACAATGAGAGTAAGTATCATTCTAGGTGGGGATTGCTTTTAATTGGGTTTCTTGATATTTCTTGGCAGTGGTGGGAGAAAAGTGACTGGACTAGATATAAGGAGCTTCGTAAATAAATTTTCTTTTCCTCTTAGCATACTTGATTGGTTATTGTAATCTTGACTTTAAGTTTTGATGATCCAGGTGCGAAGAAATTTTGACATTGTGTTGGTTTGTCCATGCTTGAGTGGTGCTGGGGACTTTAGAGTTAACGTGCTTTTGAGTATATATAATCCAAAGGAAACATTCACTTTGTTTTTTTTTATTACGTCCTTAATACTTGACTATTCTTCATGCTTCGGTTACTCTATTTATCTTTTCCCATGATTTCTTATCATTTAATGGCAGCAAGTGGTTTCTGTAGAAGATCGGTCATGAAGGTTGTACTTCTTACAATTTTCCTAAGCTATCATCCTGTTTGGTTCTTCTTATGATCAATAATGTAAGCCTTAAATAACTAGCTGATGAAGCAATGAGATTGAACGGTGGCCCAAGCCGGTTCTGTGGAGGCCATAATTAAAGAGTGGGGCAGTAGCGACTCTGTGGGGTTGCGATAGCAGATGCCGAATCTGCAGGCCTGCGCTGCCTGCCCAACGGAGTTTTTTTCGAAGGACGTCGATGAAACAGTTGCAGCGGTGGTGTTGATCACAGTTAAGGCCCTTCGAATCCTCAAAGAACATACGGTACATAGAAGTTTCAGTTATACAGTGAGCAGGATAGTTGAGGCATCCCTCTGTCATGAATACTGTATGTCTCTATTTAGGTACCAGTGTTCAATTTGGTTATTTCAACTTCATAGTCCACTCACTCAAAGTTATATTAAGGGTTCTACTGAGTTATGTGAATGGTTAACTACAATCTATCTAAGATCTTTGAATCCTACTCAGCGCACCCCCTCAAATAATTGAATACATACTGACCTTCGTTTGTATAATGTTCACGTATCTTATATGTTTGATTTGCGTTGTGTTTCTATATGTGTGTATGTGTGCGCGTGTATCATCCGGAGCTTTTTGTTTCATTAACTCTGCTTTTACATCACTATTTTTCAAATTTAAGATTAAATAACTATTTCATCTTTTGTTATGGTTGCAAACTCTGTCTATAAAATCAATGTGTAGAGTGAAGGAGATATCTGAAAGAAAAGAGAAACTAAGGCTGAGATATGGTCAATGAAAGACACTTCTATTGCTATTAAAGACCCGACGGCTAATGCATTATGTGTAAGCAGCAAATGAGGCGAGGACTCATAGTTTGATGTATGTTTTGATGTCATTTTCGTCCAGTTGACAATCTTGGGGTTATCGTTGACGTTTGGGTTTTATTTCTCTGTGATTGAACCACAACGAGATTGAAGTTCAACGACGGTTGGGCAGAGTCTACGAATTTGAAATTTCAAGGGGGCTGGAATTTTTGGTTAGTGGGAAAATTGAGAAGCTGCGTGGGTTAGGAGACTGGATGGATTCATATGTTGAGCTGGAGTTAGAAGGACATACACTTGAGTGACTGATTTATATAAGCGCTCAGAAGCTCTAGCTCAAGGAAGATGTGAAATGCTTTGGTAAGATTGGAGTTTGGGAGTTACGATTTAGTCTATAGGAAGGGGAAAGCAGATGGGAAAATAAAAAAACAAAAATTGTAAAATAAAAGATTTTTAGGACACTGGGTCGATTTTAATAGCAGAAGTGTCTATAAAAAAAAAAGGAAGTGTCCCATATTAGTATGGTTGTAAAGCCGATATTGAGTCGACTGTTAAATTGGTTCTTATCAAATTTTAGGACATAGAGTTTCATGTATATGGTTTATAGATGAGCATGTTATATTAGAGTGCATGAGTTACATATTGGTTACTACTTGGTTTTTTATTGATTACCCTTGAGGTGGAAGGATAAAAAACATTGAGCGAGTTTAAAGTGCATAGAAGTCATACATAAAATACGATAATTTTTTTTGAAAAGTATGTTACTAAAAAATGGTGATGAACACGGACTCAGATGCCGAACTGGTTTGAATTGTGATTTTAATCAGGTGTCAGGAACCATGTGATTATAAATTAGACTTTATCAAACGAGCAATTCGACCTGTTTAACCGACCACATGCCAAACTTCAATTATTCTTTACTTTTCAGACTTTCTATTTGAAAATAAAAAATATTGAAAAAAGAGAAGACCGCAATTCACCATTTTCACATCACTGCTTCAGGAACAAAACCATGGAAATTCGAAAGAAAACTGAAAAAGTTTAGGATCATTTTAATGTTAAAAATAATCAAATGGATCTTTCTGATTAGTTTGTTTACTAACAAATACCAAATGATTCCCTATAAAATACACTATAATTTAATCATTATGATATCAAAATTACAAAATATATATTTGAAATGATAAAAATTGGACTAATCGGGTTGGTCGAGGTCAAACCAATTAATAACTTTAAAATATATTATATTTTAGCCACTAAGATACAAAATAATAGCATAATATATGTTTCAAATTAGAAAAACTAGGCTAATCGAGTTGGATCCTATGTTAATCATTTAACCCCTTCCGTAAGTTGATGAATGAATTGTTCCATTCGAATTAATAACTTTGACGACAAGATGAAAGTTTTATAAAGAAAATTAATCAGCTAGCGGGCCGAGTAAAGCTAGCAACGATTGTGAGATGCTCATTTTCCGAATACCGGCGAGATAGGCGATTTTTTATTAGGTTTAAAAGAATTCGATTTTATGAAACTTACTCCACCTCATCATATTACCATAAATAATGTTGTTTGACAAGGTAACAAGTACTCGAACTTGGTTCATAAGGCTGATTTTTTATTTGTTACATCATCCATGCCTATTTCCTGCTAAAATTAACTATCTTTATCACGTGTTTAACAAAAAACTATACAACAATAAGCTATACACCCTATTAAATTCTCAAAATTCATACATCACTTTCCTCCGGCCAACTGGCCGGGGCTCCACAGTAGTAGATTAGATAAGGGCCAGTCGGCCAGATATGGATAAAACCTGGAAAAAAAATTGATATAGATGGGCTATGATTTTTGTAACACTCTAACCCGGCCGGGTACTACTTTTACTAAAATTCCCTTGAGAAATAAAATACTCAAATCTTAAATTGCATCGGGAAAATTTTTCATAAATAAAATACTGAAAACACACACTTGTAGTTCAAAGCAACGCCCTAACACATTGACAAACTCAATACTTAAAATCTCAAAGTGATCTCCAGTCTATACTCATAATCATAAATGTAAATAACCAATAATCTCTAATGTTGTTGTTGCTACTGAAAACCTTGACTAAGCATCCTCTGTGACGCTTATACTGCTCTCCTCTAGCTGGCTGCCTTCGAACTCCTTGCTCACTAACTGCTCCTCTAGCTCCTCTATCTCTTCAAACTGGTGAGTGAGATGGGGTCAGCCTACGCCCTTACGTTAACACCTTATTAATACTTGATCACTTTACTTAACTTAGTGGAAGTTGTTTTGCACTTCCACTATTAAAAATCTTAACTCTTAAAACTGTATTCTTAAAGCTCAAATCTCCACTTAAAATTATTGACTGACACGGGGATCCCTCACTAGCTAGTCCGGTTTCCAACTCATACGTATGAGAAGCCACCAAGGCTTTCCTTAAACTTAAACTTATCGTGGAAGGCTCTTCTTCCACGATTCTCAAGAGCATAACTGCTGCTCAACTTAAATATCTCAAGAGCATAACTACTGCTCTGTCTCAAAGATCTCAAGAGCATAACTGTTGTTCTATCTGAAAATCTCAAATGGCAACGGACTGGCGCTAGAGACTAAAAACACTTAAAATGACTTCACCTTCTTGAAGGTGAGTTACTTTTTAAAAAGAACTTGTTTCTTAAACTTTAACAATAACTCATAACATAACGCTTTAAGGTAAATAGCGCAAAATCGCCTCAAATAGCACAAAATCACCTCAAATCATAGCTCAAGCAAAGCACAAGTAATCAATCATAAACATAATCAAGCAACGGTAACCAATTCGCTACTTAAAATCATAATACTTAAAAAAAATACATAAGGCGTAGAATTTACCCCTTTACACTCGCCTTACTGTTCTGAATCCACACGAGTTAATCACTATCAGCTATCGATCGCCACCACCATTATATCTTGAATTCTGGTCTCCGAGATCCCTTTAACAACGATGGATGATGTCTCCTTTTCCTCTTTATCAACAACATTCTGAACTCCCTCAATAACCTCCACGTATGCTCCATCCATTCCATGCTCGCTTACACGTTCCTTTATGCATGCCAACTCAAGAATTGCTTCCCTTCCACCCGTGATGAATTCATGCATCCATGTATTCTTTCTAGCAAACACCAACCGTACTCCCTTCATTGAATATTTCTTCCCCATTGCCCTATCTCAAATCAACTTGATTACTTGAAAAGTCCATTTACACGGTTAAGCCAAGCCTCTGATGCATATCCCTTTCATTAAAAATAACAGTCGGATCGCACAATGAAAAACCCTCGAGAACTGACCTCTCCTATCCAATTATTTAAGCTAGACAATTGATCGAATTACTTACTCTAGCATAAGCAGCGGTGCTAGCTTATGGTGGTCATGTCCTCGCGTCCATGGTATTGGCTCGTTGCGATCTCCTGCGGCTATCGAATAGCTGGGTGCATCTCCCCCCGGTCCAAGTAGTTCCTCCGCCACCAAGCCTTTGTATCCATTACGAATGTTTTCAAGCCATCCTTTCCATTCAGCAAAATATTGATTTCGGATCAAATCTCGATACCCATAGGGAGAAGGCTGGGCGGGAGGGAAGAAAGCGAAAGGGACAGGGGGTTTTGCTTGTGCGGCTGGGTTCTTCCTTTGCACACTGGGTTTTAAGTTTTATTAATTTTTAGGGCGAGGCCGAGTGGGGTAAAGTAAGGGGTCTAGGGTTTAATGAGTCAAAGAGTATTTTGGGAATTTCACAATTACAGGTGATTTTAATCCGAAACTCAATTAACGTTCACAATTTTCTTATTTTATGTCCAAATTTGACACCGCTTGAACCGGTAGTTCACATTTTTAGTCCTCATCGTATTCTAGTGGAATTTGACAATTTTATTAAGGGCAAAATCGTCATTTTTGGCTTAGGAGAAGATGGGGTGTAACCGTTTTAGACTCTCTCTTTTATACACATAAACATAATAATAGTCCCCCTACAAGTATGTTTTCGTGGGTTAATTGTATGGTTGCTCACTGAGATTACAAAAAACGTTCATGTTTAGTCACTAGAAATAATTAATTTCATTGGTGGTCATCAGAGTTAGGTAAACAGTTCAAATTTGGTCACTCTCCGTTAGTCTCCGTCCATCTCTGTTTAAATCGTCAGTTTTTTGCTGACGTGGCTTAACAGAATGATGAGTCACTTAATTTTAATCCTAAGAAAATAGAAACATTCCCGCCACATCAGAATAATCTCCACTTGAAATCAATAATGACCCAACAAAACCCTTGACCCAGACCCTGTTTCTTCGCTGTTCCTCTCCCCGAGTTCCCCTTCGCGTCAAGAATCCAACCTTCCCCCTCTCCATATCCAATATCCAACCCACACCATTACAACGATCTTGGACCTCAAAACCGGCTCTGGCATTCACCGAGTTTCCCTTCGCGTCGACAACCCAACTTCATTTCTAATTTACTCGACCACGACGTATTTGAAACGGGAGAGAGATAACAAGAAATGCTCTTTGAGTTTAAAACTGAGCCAATCGTCGAGTCGACCACCTACCTTCCAGATCTGCTGGTGTGCTGCTCCTTGTTAGCGAGCGACGGCGTCGGATCGTCCCTCAACAACAAAGCAAAGTTCACCGTTGCGTTGGTTCCTTCCCGATCGAAGTTCAGATCTGAACGAAAGGCTGAACTCGGTGGCGGCGGTAACTGTCAAAGTAGGCGAATCTTGCCTCCTCTTTCTCAGAAAGAACGGAAATGTCGAGCCCAGTGGCAGTTCGAATTGTTTCGACGAGCTCGACTCGGTTGGCAGCCTCCCGGACGACGGATCTGGCGACGCAAAGGGTTTGACGAGGTTGGAAATTTCTTTTTTCCTCACGACGTCCAGATAACAGATCCCTGACCCATGACCTCGCCGGAGCTCTTCGATTTCCAGGCCTCCAGACGCGAAACGTCATTGAGCCCACTGCCGTCGGAAGAAACGACGAGTCCTCGAATTGTCGCCGGGATTGGGCAACAGATCTGGGATTCTGAGGCAACAGATCTATGACTGCTATTGTCGTAGGGATTGGGTGGCCGAGATTGTCACCGAGATTGGGTTTGACAAAGTGGCCAAGATTCTCGCCGGGATTGGGTTTGGGAAGAACAGGATCTGGAAATTTGGGGTTCTTTTGGTTTTCTGGGTATTGGTTTCGGGGAAGAAAAATGGACAACTAGTAGAGGGAAGACTGATTTATCATCAGGAAAGGAAAATAGGATAATTTGTTTCTTTTGAGTGGGTCGGTTAATAGACCGGGCTGGTTCAAGGATTGGGTTGGACAAGGTGACATGGCGGGTTTTAATGATGTGGCGGGTCGGTTTCATCATTTTCGGGTCAAATTAGCCTGATTAGACGATTCTGTTAGCCATGTCTGCAAATAACAGACCTAGTTAACGGAGGCAGACGGAGACTAACGGAGAGTGACCAAATTTGGACTGTTTACGTAATGCTGATGACCATGAATGGAAATTTTTTTTGTGACGAAACATGAACCTTTTTAGTAATTATAGTGACCAATGTTGCAATTTACCCATGTTTCCGTATATAAAAGATTTAATGATCATATTTTAATTTCTCAACTGGAGATGTAATTTAAAAAAAAGTTAGAATGTAATTGGGTAATCACTCAAATCATAATTTATTTCCCTCAATTCAGCTCTCGCCCTTTGACTTCTTTCTATAGGTGGCAAATGGATTGATTCATGGATTGTTGGATTATTGGATCCATGGATCAAATGGATTGGTGGATCCATGGATTGGATCAAATGGATTGGTGGATCCATGGATTGGATCAAATGAATTGGTGGATTATCCATGAATCCAAATGACATTTAAATAACTGAATCAATATTTAAAATTTGAAAACTTTAGAAACTATTACTTTTTAATAAATTAGGCACCAAAATGTAACTTTTCCATGATATTTTAGGTTAAAAATTGTTTAATTAATTTTAGTACCGTAGAGTGGAAACGATTCGTGAATATGGACAAACAATCGTCGTCGACGGCGAGAGTCTGCCGGAGGCAGAGGAATGACGGCGAGCATGACGTTGCGTTGCAGGGAATCCCGGTGCAGAACCACGCCAGCACCAAATCCTCCGGTACGACACCGGAAACTCCCGCCGCCGCCTGCTGCCCAAACCCGTCTTTGGACAGGGAGTCGCACCTCGAGCTCCACGGGTTCAAGTGAAAAGAAGTGAGGACGATCAGGAATCCACTCCTCTGCTAGTTGCATTGCCTGAAGATAAACGAAGAACAAGTTAATCTTTGAACTTGAAGCAGAAGCGCCCAAATGAAGAAGAAGAACAAGATGGCGTCGTTGAGGCATCAGAGAAGCAACGTTTACAAAACTCACCGTTTTGTGGTGATAAAACGTAGAGTTAGTTTTAATGTTTTATAGGACAAGTGTACAGCTTTTATTGGTTAGTTAGTTTGCTCTTTTAACGGCTAGTGAAACTGTATGTCTGACCACTGGTGAGAAAATCTCATTGTAGTCAACTCCTTCCCTCTGCGAGAAGCCTCGTGCAACCACCCGAGCTTTAAATTTCATGCCCTCTTTAGAAGTGATTCCTTCCTTCTTCTTGTAGATCCACTTGTTTGTAACAATCTTCCTTCTCTATGGTCATTTGACTAGCTCCTAAGTCTGATTTCTGTCATGGGATTCCATCTCATCTCCCATTGCAGCAAGCCACTGATTAGCTTCACCCCCCGAAACTGCTTCTCTATAGGACTGTGGCTCTCCTGAATCCACTTCTTCAGCAACCTGAAATGAATACGCCACCATGTCCTCGAAGCCATACCTCTGTGGAGGTACCCCTGCAGTCGCTCTCTTTGGTCTACCGGAAGTTATAGATTGTTGAGCTCGTGCACTGGACTCTGAAGTTTCTGGCTCTGCAGAGACATCCTCATCATGTTGATCTTCTCCACCTTGGTGCTCAAACTCACTCTCTTTGAGAGTTTGCAGCTCCACTTGCTTATCAACATTCCTGCTACCTTCAACAACAGTAACCTTCAACATGGGGTTAAACATAGACTTCTCATCAAATATCACATTTCTACTCAGTATAACTCGATGCTCAGAAGGTGACCAGACTCGAAATCCCTTAACTCCATCTCCGTAACCCAAAAATACACCCTTCTTTGCCCTTGGGTTCAGTTTACCCTCATCCACATGATAATAAACAGGACACCCAAAAACTTTCAGTGAAGAGTAATCAGCAGGCTTACCATACCACACCTCATAAGGAGTCTTCAACTCGATACCTGTGTGAGGTCCACGGTTGATCAGGAAGCACGCCATGTTCACTGCTTCTGCCCAAAATCTTCTCTCTAGTCCAGCATTAGAGAGCATGCACCGTGCTCTCTCAAACAACGTCTGGTTCATCCTTTCTGCAACGCCATTCTGCTGAGGTGTATCTCTCACAGTCCGATGACGGGCAATCCCTTCATCCTTGCAGAATTCGTTGAACTCAGAATTACAGAACTCCAGACCATTGTCTGTTCGAAGCTTCTTGATCTTCTTCCCGGTCTGATTCTCCACCAATGTCTTCCACTGCTTGAACTTCGTGAAAGCCTCACTTTTCTGCTTCATCATGAAAATCCAAGTAAATCTCGAATAATCATCAATAATAGACAGAAAATACCTGCTGCCTCCAATGGATTCAACTCGTGAAGGACCCCAATAGTCGGAGTGGAGGTAATCTAGTATCCCATTCGTCCGGTGGATACCCTTCTTGGGAAACTTGCTGCGATGTAGCTTCCCAAACACACAATGCTCGCAGAATTCCAAATTCTGCATCTTGTGCCCGCAAAGAAGATCCCTCTTCGATAGAACTTGCATCCCCCATTCACTCATATGCCCCAATCTCATGTGCCAGAGAGTGGTCATATCTTCCTGATGAACATGAGACGATGCAACTGCAGCAGAACCAGACAACACAGACCCTTGTAATGCATACAAGGTCCCACGCTTCACGCCCTTCATCACCTTCCTTGAACCTTTGCAGACATACACAACTCCACCTTTTCCTTTGAAAATGAAACCCTTGCTGTCGAGTAGACTCAAGGAGATCAGGTTCTTTGTCATTCGTGGAACATGCCTGACATCATTCACGGTACAGAACGAACCATCATGTGTCCGAACCTTTATGGATCCGATTCCAACAACCTTGCAGACAGCTCCATTAGCCATGACCACGTTACCACCATCTATCTACTCGTAGGTTGTGAAGCAATCCCTGTTCGGAGACATACAGTATGAGGCTGCAGTATCCAGAAACCACACATCACCACGATGTGCCTTCTCATCTACAGCCAAGGCGAGATCGTCTTCAGAACTATTGTCCACTTCTGCCACGGCAACTGAACCTTGTTTCTTCTGTTGCCCTCTTCTCTTGGGACAGTTATACTTCCAATGCCCCACTTCCTTACAGTTGTGATAAGCATCACCTGGCTGTCGACCGGGACCCTTGGAATTCTTGTTTGAATTCCCTTTACCAGATTTCTTCTTTCCCTTTCCACCTGTAACAGCCAAACCCGATGCCTCACCACATGTACCAGATCCGGACGCCTTATGCCTGATCTCTCTCGTATGAAGAGCAGACCTGACATCCTCCAACGATACGCTTTCTTTATCAGCAATAAAAGAATCAACGAAATTCTCATATGAACTCGGCAAAGAAACCAGTAGGATTAGGGCAGCATCCTCGTCATCAACTTGAACATCTATATTACGCAGATCCAGCAAAATAGAGTTAAGCTGTTCGAGATGTTCCCTCAAAGGCATACCTTCTTGCATCCTCAAGCTGAACAACCGTTGCTTGAGATGCAGCTTGTTGGTTAAGGACTTCGTCATATACAGACTCTCCAACTTTAACCACAAGCCCGCGGCAGTCTTCTCAGCAGAGACTTCAATGATGACGTCATCAGACAACAATAGCATGATGGTCGAGTGGGCCTTCTCCTCCAGGGTATTCCACTCATCGTCATCGACCGCTTCCTTCTTCTGTTTCGCAGACAGCGGCCCCCACAGCCCTTGTTGTTTTAATAAAGCCTGCATCTTGATTTGCCATATAGCGAAACTGTTCTTCCCCGTGAACTTTTCGATCTTCATGTTCACCGACGTCATTCTTCTGAATCGAAAACCCTAGCCTGATTTCCAGCCGCGGCTCTGATACCACTTGTTATAAACGCGCTGCTACGGATCGGGAAATCGCCAGAATCGATAAAGCAAGAATACGAAAGCGATAATCGAAAAACACAGACACACGATTTACGTGGTTCACTAACACGATGTGTGTTAGCTACATCCACGGGCGAGAGAGAGTCAGTTTCACTATATCAAGGAGATTATAGATTATAGAGGAGTATGAGAAGTATTTATAGTACTTCTCCATGTGGGTCTAAACCTAATCCAATCTGACAAAGGAAACGGTTACAGACCAGGCCCAGAACCCGGACCCAAATAACATTGAGCCCATAGACCCCCGATTACCAGTCGTAGCGGCTGATAGTCCGATTCAAGTCACATCAACACATGTCATAAGAACTGATCAAGGAATGGAATTCCACATGAATGAGATGAGTGTGGTGTATACTGCTCAACAGAATGGGAGGGTTGAGAGGAAACATCAACACCTTCTGAATGCTGCCAGAGCTTTAAAGTTTCAATCTGGCTTACCTCTTCTGTATTGGAGTGATTTCATCCTCCATGCTGCTTATCTCATCAACAGGACACCAACCCCAGTTCTAGATAACAAAACTCCTTTTGAGATTTTATATCAGGTACCACCTGATTACAACAGTCATAGAGTTTTTGGCTGTCTTGCCTATGATGCAACAGTTGGTCCTACTCGAACCAAGTTTGCTCCCAGAGCCAAGAAGTGCATTTTTCTGGGTATTCCAAGTGGCATAAAAGGATACAAGCTACTGGATCTTGACACTAGACGTGTGTTCATCTCTAGAGATGTTGTTTTCTATGAACAGATCCTAGCCTACAAGTCTTCTACTTCCCCTACTTCTTCTATTCAAACATACTCATCTTCTCCTCTTGATCTGCCTTCTCATGATTCATATCATTCCTTCCTTTTTCCTTCTTCACCATCTCCTTCCTCACCATCTTCTTCAAATCACCAGCTGTCTGAGGAGGGCATATTTACTACTCCTACTTCTTCCATTTCACATCCTGCTAGTTCCCCTGATGAGAATAGTTCTCAGTCAAGTTATACTCCTTCTCCTCTTTCTTTTTCTCCATCTCCTTTTCCTCACGAGGATCCACCAATTCCTCTCTAGAAAATCCCTCAGAAACATTAAACCACCAGCTTGGCATGATGATTATGAAGTTTAATATCCCATTCATCAAGCTCTCTCTTACACTCATCTCAAATCAAAACATCAGTGTTTTGTTAACATTCTGAGTACTGAGGGAGAGCCAAGTACCTATCTGCAAGCATCTCAGGATCCTAGATGGAACAATGCCATGATTAAAGAGATTAAGGCATTGATTGAAAATGAAACCTAGGATATTGTGCACCAAACAAGAGGCCTATTGGATGTAAATGGGTTTACAGAATTAAACTGAAGTCTGATGGAGAAGTAGAAAGGTTCAAAGCTAGGCTTGTCGTAAAAGGGTACACTCAAGTATATGGGATAGATTACTGTGACACTTTCTCTCCCGTGGCAAAAATGGCTTCAGTGGAGGCTCTTATTTCAGTTGCTGCAGTTAAAGGAAGGCATCTACATCAGATAGATGTAAGCAATGCCTTCCTAAATGAAGATCTCACTGAAGAGCTGTATATGGTGTTGCCACCAGACATGGATGAAGATCCTAAGTTCAAAGGGAAAGTTTGTCGATTGAAGAAATCTATCTATGGTTTGAAGCAAGCAAGTAGACAGTGGTATGCAAAATTGACAGAAGCTTTGCTCAAACATGGATTTAAACAATCAGTAAGTGACTATTCTATCTTTACTGCACTTGTTTTGAATGAGCTGGTGGTCCTAATTGTCTATGTGGATGACATTGTATTGGGGAGTATCAGTTTGGAGTCGATTAATGCAGTAAAAAGCATGCTTCATGGAGAGTTTAAAATGAAGGATCTTGGTGAGTTAAGCTACTTCCTTGGTCTTGAAGTGACACGAGGGAAACAAGGAATCATAATTTCACAAAGAAATTATTGTCTTGATGTACTTAAAGAAGCAGGATTTGATTCATGTAAACCTGCATCAACACCTATGTTTGTTAAAGAGGTGTTGTCATCATAAGGAGGGAAGCCTCTAGATTGCATCAGTGGTTACAGGCATCTGGTTGGACAACTTCAATATTTGACTACAATCAGACTTGACATCATGTTTGCAGTACAACAACTCTGACAATTTCAAGATAAACCAACTACATTACATCTTCGAGCCTTGGAGAGAGTTCTACGTTATTTGAAATTGGCACCAGGTCAAGAATTATTGTATTCATGTGATTCAAGTTTGCAGCTAAGGGGATACAGTGATTCGGATTGGGCGACATGCCCTGACTCAAGAAAATCCATGACATGCTATTGCACATTTCTGGGATTCGGCTTAATCAGCTAGAAAAGTAAAAAGCAAAGCACTGTCTCACACTCGTCTTCTGAAGCAGAGTACAGGGCATTGGCAAGTCTCAGTTGTGAAGTGCAGTGGCTGATTCGACTGCTTTCAGAGTTTGGAATTTCACACCCTCAACCTGCTCGCGTCCACTGTGACAATCAATCGGCAATCCACTTTGCGGAAAATCCTGTCTTCCATGAGAGGACGGAACATATAGAGGTGGATTGCCATATCATCAAAGAACGAGTACTATCAGGTTTGATTTCCCTACACTATGTTCCAACAGAATTTCAATTGGCTGACATCTTCATGAAGAGTTTGTCGATTGAACAATTCCGTATGTTATTATCCAAGCTGGGAGTATATAATCTATACTCGCCAGCTTGTGGGAGGGTGAAAAGGAGTGAGGACGAGCGGGAATCTGCTCCTCTGTTAGTTGCATTGCCTGGAGATAAACGAAGAACAAGTTCATCTTTGAACTTGAAGCAGAAGCACCCAAATGAAGAAGAAGAAGAACAAGACGGCGTCGTTGAGGCATCGAAGAAGCAACGTTTACAAAACTCACCATTTTGTGGTGATAAAATGCAGACTTAGTTGTACTATTTTATAGGACAAGTGTACAACTTTTATTGGTTAGTTAGTTTGCTATTTTAACGGCTAGTGAGACTGTAAATACAACTCCGTATAATTGCTTCTCTGAATGGAAATAGCTCACAACGAGCATCTTCCCCAAATATGCTCTTATCCAAATTCTCTGTTTATCAGAAATCTTCTCATCAATCTCTCACAATTCTCATTCAATTTCGGTGTTCAAGATGCTCGGGAGATCGTAGACGTACCCGTGCTCGCAGTGATTCTCCTCGTCGACCATCACGGAGGCGGCTGCAGAGTCGGACTTTGTTGCGACGGCTGAAGCAATGACGACTGGTTCTTATACGGCGGCGACGGGATCGAGAGAAGAGCACAGGTTCCTGTCCCAATCAACCAAACATGAGCCCAGGTTTTTTTGATGCGGCGATGAAAAGCAGGAGCTGGTGCAGCCGCTCGTCTGAGGCCTTTGGCGCCGTTTGGGGGTAAGTGGAGACGACGATGAATGACCAGAGGCGGTGGTGGGCGTTGGAGTAGGGTCCTCGACATGTTCTTCAGGCCATGATATGATTGTAAATTCCAGGGGCTTTTGTTTTAATTTATGGACACTGTTAAGGGTGTCAGTCGGTCGGTTTCGGTTTAACCGAAAACTGATTTCTCGATTATCAGTTAAACCGAGCCACCACCTCCCACTGCCGATCGCCGACCGTAAGGGACACTGTGGTTAGCCGACCACTGACCGGTCAGTTATCGTTTTTGGTTCGGTTAGCCGCATACCCGAAAAACACTCCCTAATCTCCAAAAAAAATAATTAAAACAATTAAAAACAACCCAAAAATCCTCCCACCACTTATTCCTTATCTCCTCCATCATTCTCTCTCCTTCCTTTCTCCATTCAAACCCCCACCACCATAAGGCATGCCACCTCCTTCCGTCTCTCTCCTTCCTTCTTCCATTTGACCATTTCAGATCTGGACACCACAACCATGGAGGAGAAGCAAAGGCAAAGTGGCGGCAGCCGGCGAGTGGAGGCGGACGGAGCAGGGCGGTTGGCGATTCGAAGAGGAGAAGCAGGGGGTCGCGCACAGGAACGGCGGAGCGGAGGCCATGGGTCGTTGTCGGGGAAAGAGATAGTTTGTTGGATTGACGATGAGGACGACGCGATATGATGTTGTTGCTGGGCTGGTGGCCTGCTCCGCGACGGGAAGGAGGCGTACGTGACGGCACGACGCTGAACGCGATGGGAAGGAGGCGGATGGCGAGGTGGACGACGAAGCGACGGCGGAGGCGAGGTGGACGGTGACGCGGTGGACGGAGGTGAGGTGGATGATGGAGGTCTGCTTGTTGGCTATGGCGGTGGTGAGAGTGTAGAGGAAGAGGAGTGAAAAGAGGGAAATTGTTGAGAGAGGGATTACTATTATTGCTTCTTCTTCTTCCTGGATTTGGGAAAAAATTTAGATTCAAGATGTGAGAATGGAGATGAATCTGGACAGGATTTTGAGGAAGGTTAAGTGGGTCTCGGTTGGGCCCGGTTGGTCCGATAACCGCGGTTAATCACCGTCGGTTACTCGGTCAACTGACCCCTTCCTTTTCCCATCTGACCACCGATCGTCAAGGTAACCGGTCGATTTTCGGTTAAAACCGACGGATACCCGCTAACCTAAAACCGAAATGCCAGCCCTAAACACCGTAGAGTAGGGTTTAGGTTAGTGGATATCCATGAATCCAATCCATCAATTTATGGATTAAATGGATTTTTTTTGTTAAGGATGATATAAATTTAAAAAGAAAGTTATAACAACCCAAAAAACACACATACAGGGAAGTGGGGAACCCAAATGTGAGATTCCCAAATAAAGAAAAGGAAAGGAGTGAACCCCCGCACAAACATCCCAAGATGGAACTGGGCTGAGAGGAACTCAAACAGGTTATGAAGAAGCAAATTGACAGAGTAAAAACCCCAAGAGCAGAACTGCAGGGTCCCTAGGTTTGCCATTCTATAATGAGCATCTCGAAAGACGGTAATTCTTCACGGCTGCAAAGGACCAAAATCATGATTGGCCGAGCCAAAGGAAGCTAATCTGCGTCCACATTCAGTTGCCCTGCAGCATACTCTGTCTAGGGGAAGAGATGAACCTGCTTTTCAAAGTTTCCAGCCAGGCCTCGGTCTCTTGCCTGCCAACTTTCTGAGCTGCGGATAACCAACTTACGATCGCGCAACCGATTCGATAGGATGTAACACGTGATGACGCAGCAACTCCCTTGAAGATTCGGGAGTTTCTTTCTATCTAGATGTTCCAGCAGTAAGCGTGAAGAAATGGATTTGGATCAATTTAAATGAATTGGATCGGACTGAATTAATGAATTGAATCATATTATTGCCACCTCTTCTTCTTTCCTCATTGTTAACAAAAGTATGTTAATTATTTTTAGTATATGCGTGAGAGTCAGAAATGAATGACTTGAGTAGTATTGTATTTTTTTAATTTCATAGATTAATGAAGATTTTAGTATTGAACCTCCTTCATCAGTACGACAAGTGTGTCATGAACCAGTTGATCTCAATAACTCGAGTTGGTGCAAGAGGTTCAATAGTGGATCATATATCATGTACTTGACTCCTTTAACCAAAGCCACCATATTGCATAGTTAGTAAATACTCCATTTAATACACATATATGTACACGTACGTATTTTATCCATTTAAAATTTTTGTATCCGTATTATTGTCAAGTCATTTCATTTTTCGAATGCTGATCTGGATTCTGTTGTGCGAGTGTCAGTTCGTTTGAAGAGCTTATACAACAAGCTTCAACTAGTGTATCTACCATGGATTCATTCTATTCCTATGAAAGTAGGAACGTGATGGGTCCCTACCTGGAAGGCTCTTCCGAACTCTTTGAGACATTACGACTCTAAACAAGAGACGTCGATTTTTCGTTCATTTAATGACTCCCGTACTAAACAAGTATAAAATACATATAACACGTTTAAATTGTTAGCTTTACTATTGTACATATTAAAATAATTAATTTTATATATTTGTGACTATTAACGTAACATTAACTTAGAGACGAAATAAAATATCCGTACATATTTTATACGTACCTTTCATGTACTGTATTTTACTACTTAACAGAAACAAATGGGGTCATCGGAATCCGAACAAAAATCGTATCAGTTATAGAAGGCTCAAATATGTTATCAAGAATCAGTTAGTATCAATAACTCAAGTTGTTATTGGAAATTCAATAGTGGATCGATCATATACCAATATACCAAGTAATAAAGTGCAAAAACATATATTCATAACATTTGTATGAATGAAAAAGAAAATTACAAATACACGTATATGTACCCGTACGTATTTTATCCATTTAAAATTTCTGTATCCGTATTATTGTCAAGTCATTTCATTTTTCGAATGCTGATCTGGATTCTGTTGTGCGAGTGTCAGTTCGTTTGAAGAGCTTATACAACAAGCTTCAACGAGTGTATCTACCATGGATTCATTCTATTCCTATGAAAGTAGGAACGCGATGGGTCCCTACCTGGAAGGCTCTTCCGAACTCTTTGAGACATTACGACTCTAAACAAGACACAGTCGATTTTTCGTTCATTTAATGGCTCCCGTACTAAACAAGTATAAAACACATATAACACGTTTAAATTGTTAGCTTTACTATTATATATATTAAAATAATTAATTTTATATATTTGTGACTATTAACGTAACATTAACTTAGAGATGAAATAAAATATCCATACATATTTTATACGTACCTTTCATGTACTGTATTTTACTACTTAACAGAAACAGATGGGGTCATCGGAATCCGAACAAAAATCGTCTCAGTTATAGAAGGCTCGAATATGATATCAAGAATCAGTTAGCATCAATAACTCAAGTTGTTATTGGAAATTCAATAGTGGATCGATCATATACCAATATACCAAGTAATAAAGTGCAAAAACATATATTCATAACATTTGTATGAATGAAAAAGAAAATTACAAATCTTAACGCCATGTGGCCGTGGGCATGCAAAATGCAACATTAGAAAAAACGATCTTTATTCTTTGGAGGATAAACATTATATGTTTACGCTAACTCGTAGTTGCAGATGCTGCATGGAAAAGCACGTACTAGTCGCCACGCATGGCAGGGGAAGGCGCTGGCGAAGGCGCGCAAGGAACCGGCAGCGGCAGCCCGCACAACCCGGGGTTGCCTTCAAAACTCGACGCCGGAAAATCAAGAAACCCACTCGGAATCGGGCCAACCAACCGGTTCCTCGAGACATTGTACGCCTCCAAACCGGCGAAATTAACCTCACCCGGGATATCCCCGTCGAACCGGTTTTCCTGCGCCAAGAAGATGTTCAGCCTTCCCAGACCGGTTGGAATCGGCCCACTGAACCGGTTCCGCGAAACATCGACCAGGCTCAGGCCGGTCAGAGAGGCGAGCGAAACAGGGAGCGAACCGTGAAGACGGTTCCCCCCAAGCCGCAGGTAGGTCAGGTTGGTGAAGCAGGCGATTTCGAAAGAGAGCCGGCTGAAGATGTAGTTGTCTGTCAGGTCTAGAGCTTTGAGAGAATACTGGATGGTCCTGCAGAGCAGTTTGAGATCCAGACGTCCGGTGAGGTTGACCATGTTGAGGGTCAGGGCCATGACTCGGTCGTCCGAGTCACAGACGACCCCTGCCCAATCATGGCAGGGGTCCGAGGTGAGGTTCCAGCCCCAGTTGGAGTGGGGCGGGAACGTGCCCTCCGAGAGGGTTTCGATGAACTGGAGGAGTGATATCCTTGCCTGGATTGATTCTGGAGTCGAGGGTTGTGGGAAGGTTAGGAAGAGGAGGAGGAGAATGGAATGAATTAGGATGATTTTTCCGGCCATGGTTTTGCTACGAAAGAGTTGAGGTTTTGAGATGGAGGAAATGGGTTCGAGGTATTGCCCATTTATACACGGTGGGAAGTTGACTTCTTTGGAGTAATGGAAAGAATCCAAGAAGAAGGAGACAATGTGGGAGAGATATCGCTGTTAAGAGCAAGCTAGCTGAGAAGGACGTTTGTGAATTCCAAGGGAATGACAAAGGAAAAGAAACAAGAACATACCTTGGACTTTGAGTTCTAAATCTATTTTGATAATGAGTTCGAAGTTAAGTTCAGAAGCATCATTCAATTAACTTCCAAATGTAATATCTGGTGAAATTTTTAGGAATAATTTGGATGGGTCAATCTAGAAACGAGACAATTTGGTCAATTGTTTCATTTTATAAAACGAGTCATTAATAAGAAGTACATTTGCATTACCTACTTGGATGTCCCTATTTAGACAATTGAAGTTAACTCAATCAAATTTTCCCAAATCAAATTGGTTCATCCAAATTTTATACTTTTTTTTAACAAAAGATAGCTTGTATTACCAAGAAGAAAAGATCGCAAACGATTACATCTCCGAATGGAGCCAAACGCAAAAATCAAACCCCTCGATAAGAGCGGGATACAAAGAAAGGGCCTTCCTAGACACCCTATGGGCTACCCTATTGTTATCCCTGCCTACAAACCGAAGCACATCCCCCGTACCACTAGCCAACACCTCCTGAATCTCCTGCAACGCTGCTCCCCCACAACAATCCCAAGCACATCCCACCACCACTTTGTCAATGACGACCTTAGCATCCCCCTGGTAACAGACACCGTGGACCCCCATCGCCCGACACCACAAGATCGCCTCCCGTAGGGCCATCAACTCCACTAGCATTGGGTCTGTTAGACCAGCCAACCCCTTTCCCATCGCCCTAACCACCACCCCATCGGGCCCCTGCAGGACAATCCACACCGCAGAATGTGACGCCTCACGCACTGCTCCATCAAAGGAGCACACCCAAGACACACCCTGAGGCCACCGAATCGGTCCTAGTGCCGCCCCCTGTCGTCGACCTTGACAACAATTTGATACAAATTTGATATAATTATATCAAAACAAAACAATTGAGTTTGATTGATTCGTTACAATTCTCTATCCAAACGAGCACTAAATGAATTTCGACTATCGTTTATATTTTTGGCTCCTATTATATATTGCGTTAAACGAAAATTGGTCCAATAATTTTCATAATAATAATCTCTTTGTTCAAGGTACACAGTCGAGACTATTTCCCACAAGTCACAAATCATGGCCCAAGATGTTATCAATTTGGGTGATTAAAGCCGGATATAAGTTTATTTCTTAGAGTATCTCAAAACTATGGTACAGGTTTGATAGTTAGGGTTGCAAGTTTCAAGTTTTCGCTTAGTGTTTAGGTCCTAACTGGGTTGGTTTAGGTCCAAGATTCGACCACTATCAAAGTTCATGATCAATGTCGATGTCTGAGATGAGGGTTTAGTGTTCTCATATGAAAGCTCTACCATTTCTCTTTAGCTTTCATCAACCATAAACTAGGACTGCATCTTTTTTTTTGCTTTAAGAGTACTAGGTGTCCTACCGATTTCCTACCAATGTAAGTCGAAACTAGGGGACACCGAGCACAGAGACAACCCCTAGAACATTCATCTGCACCAGATATAAAGCTTGGCATACTCCATTCTAATGCGAACAGATACGGTGTACACAAGCACGCTATACCAACAAAGGCAAGCATCAGCATAGATGCAAGAGGTAATCCACTGCAGATACATAAAACATACATCCGACTTCATTATTCGACAACAAAACAAAAACAACCGACATCATTGTTCAAAGCCATACATAGTACTTGAAAATAAGATAAAAAGCAGCAAACTGGGATTCAACCAATCCTAGTAACCAGAAACTTCAACAGTCCAGAAAACTTTAGCAATGCAGAAACCAGCTAAGAGCAACCCCCTTAGAAGCCACCACGGAGACGCAGGACAAGGTGGAGTGTTGATTCCTTCTGGATATTGTAATCCGCCAGGGTCCTTCCATCTTCCAACTGCTTGCCAGCAAAGATAAGCCTCTGCTGGTCTGGTGGGATACCTTCCTTATCCTGGATTTTGGCCTTCACATTATCAATGGTGTCACTGCTCTCCACCTCCAGGGTAATTGTCTTCCCGGTCAATGTCTTGACAAAGATCTGCATGCCTCCCCTCAATCGCAGGACAAGATGAAGGGTAGACTCCTTCTGAATGTTGTAATCAGCAAGAGTCCTCCCATCTTCCAGCTGCTTTCCCGCAAAGATCAGCCTCTGCTGGTCCGGTGGGATACCTTCCTTATCCTGGATCTTAGCTTTGACATTGTCGATGGTATCACTGCTCTCCACCTCGAGGGTGATGGTCTTTCCTGTCAAAGTCTTCACAAAGATTTGCATTCCTCCCCTCAGACGAAGGACCAGATGCAGAGTGGACTCCTTCTGGATGTTGTAATCAGCCAGAGTCCTCCCATCTTCCAGCTGCTTCCCTGCAAAGATGAGCCTCTGCTGATCTGGGGGAATCCCTTCCTTGTCCTGGATCTTAGCCTTCACGTTGTCGATGGTGTCGCTGCTCTCCACCTCGAGGGTTATTGTTTTCCCGGTCAAGGTCTTGACGAAGATTTGCATGCCACCACGGAGACGGAGAACCAAGTGAAGAGTTGACTCCTTTTGGATGTTGTAGTCCGCCAAAGTCCTCCCATCCTCAAGCTGCTTCCCAGCAAAGATCAACCTCTGCTGATCTGGGGGAATCCCTTCCTTGTCCTGGATCTTGGCCTTGACGTTGTCGATTGTGTCACTGCTCTCGACCTCGAGAGTGATCGTCTTGCCGGTCAAGGTCTTAACAAAGATCTGCATCTGTAAAATCGCAACCAACAAGGAAAAAACCTAATTCAGCATCCCCGATCGAAATTTTATCAACAAAAACCTAGTTTCAAACAAATTCCAACATAGGCTTTGACCTAACACAGGGATATCAGAGATCCACACAGAGAAATCGAATTAACAAGAGCCAATGAACCCTAATTCCAGCGCCTAGAGATCTAGATCAACAATCGAATTTGGAGAACAGAGGAACCGAAATCTAACCAGCTCAATGAAACCCTAGCTACAAAAAAAAGTTCCAGCCTCCGATCTAACAGCGGGAGAGTTCAAAGATTCAAACATGGCAATCGAATGAACAAGGAAGAAGTAACCCTAATTCTCCAAAAGCAAGAAATCCCCGATCGGCGATCGGACAAACAGAACGAAAGAAGCTAAATTCTGTATCCGAAATACAATCTAGAAAATCATAACAGAATAAAACAGAACAGCTGTAGAAAATCGAAGACGGGATTCGTTACCTTGAGAAGGCTGGGAAGAAAGCTTGGAATCGAAGGTCTGACTGATTAGAGAGATTTCAGATTGCTTGGAATGAACTATTGAGGAGAAGGGGTAATTGGGGTTTTGATTTATAGGAGGCCGATTGACCGACTTGGTTTTGGAAAACCAGCCGAAAACACACACGTGTATGGACAGCCGATTGATACTATAATAACTTGGCCTATTAACATTTTTAGTCTGGCCGAAGGTAAGGATGGTGAAACCAGGGGCGGACGGACGGGTATTTAGGGGTGTCCGGCGGACTTATATTCAGTGGCCTACCCAGAAATTTTTCATAGGGTCCTCTTTTAAAAAATAAATTAAATAAAAATAATTAATAGAAATAAAATCGTAAATATGAAAATACCTTGCTCGTACAGGTTAAAAAAGTCCATGATATGTTTTCATATTCGAAAATAATTGTAGAATACACTTGGTGTTTATAGTGTTAAAAAAAGATTTCTATATACCCTACTAGACAATCATTCAGGAACTTATCGCATATTCGATTTGTAAACTTGTTCTTAATGTAACCCAAAGCTGAAAGACTCTTCAACACTTGTCGTACAATCATAAAATCAATACAAATTAAGGGTATATTGAAATTAGTTTTGATTGAAATAATTAGAGACAGGGAATGACTTTTTACTATTACACATTGTTCAAAATCGAACACCAAATGAGTTGTAGCTCAACGGAAATTAAGTTTATTATTAATAATAATAGTGTTCTCGATTTGAATTACCCAACCTAACATTTATATTTTTATACACAAATGACAGTAGGATAATCATTTTTTTCAAATTTCAGGAGTGTCCCTCATTCTCAATTATATTTTTTTGTCTATACGTAAATTACCACCGGGGTTGGATAATCATTTTTCCGAAATTTAGGGGTGTCCGGAGACACCCATAAAACTCCCTGGGTCCATGTTACCCAATTCGCGCAAGTTGCCCCGGCGCTCCCGCGCTAATTCGCAAAAACGCGAATTTTCAGTGAAACGTTCCAAATTCGTGAATTTTGTATCGCCGGAGCGCGAACTCTTGAAATAAGAGCGCGGATTCCACCGTGATTGTTATCGGCGATGGTGATATACTGGCAGGCAGGGGAGAAGACAAATATCTTCTCCTTCCGACAACGGTTGCTGATGTTATTCAATCCTTTGAAGGGTTAGAAGATCTGGGCTGCATTGTTGGGGATCAGCAGGTGGATCAATCTACTGGAGAGAATATATGTATCATCCTTGACATGCAGTCCAAAATCTGATTGTCTCTCTCCCTAGGTTTTCTGAAGGAATTGGGAACGGTAAAGAAAAGACTACGAGGAGAGTAGCTTGGATCTGATTTCGATGATCTCCTACCAAGAGCTACTCTTTTTCGTCTACGCCGTCATGACGGAGGAACAGAGGCGGCCGCCTAAAGCTGTTAAGCGGAGATGAAGTGATGAAGGAAGCTAAAGAGTTATGGGGCGAAAGATGAAGATGAAATCGAGGCGCTGGCGGGTAATTTGGGAACAATGAGTGATGACCGGCGACCTCGGAGGAAGGAGAATTGGGAGCGGATAAATCGAGAAGGGGGGAGATTGACGGTACCCGAGGAGGAAGATAGAGACGGTTATTCTCTTTTCAATGAAAATCTATTGTATTATTTTTAATGGAGGTGGGATATTGGTTTCATTTACAATATAATTTATAACTATATATATGGGAGGGTTTACGGTGCTAATTGTACAATAGTTAGCACCGTCCTAACCAAGGGAAAAACTACTACTAGTTTGAATTAGTAGTGATTTAGCTTAGATGTTGTATTGATTTTATAATAATCCGTAGTGATTTTTGCTAGTTATCACGGTGCTAACCCTTATAGGGATTATCACCTAATCCCATCCCATATATATGAGTTTTTTTCCTCGGGTGAATATAACTAGATGGGTTCACTGGAATTGATTAGTACTATTAATTGGTAATTGTTCACTTGTTCTCCACGAACTGCAATTGAACAGGTAGTGGTTTTTAATAGAAACAAGAAATTTTTTATGTAAATATTCACAAATTACATTAATATAAATATTTAAAAATTCCATTAATGCTAATTGCAGGAATTAAATGTGATAATAGTTCATATTGTATTTAATATTTTACAAAGATATATAAATTATTAATTAAAATAATTTAATAATGACGTTTTATTCACGCTCTCAATATTGAATTCCTACAAGATTAACGCTCTGACGCTCTCGCTCCCGCTCTCGCTCCACGCTCTGGTTACCTAACGGGGGACACCCCTAAATTTTGGGAAAACGATTATCCAAACCCCAGTAGTAATTTACGTATTGACAAAAAAATTATAATTAATAGTCGGGGACACCCCTAAATTTAAAAAAGTGATTATCCTATTCCTACTCTCATCTTTTAGTTTGAGTATGAGAATATAAGTCGTAGTTTGGGTAATTCAAACCTAGAACACTTTTATTATTAATAAACATAATTTTCATTAGGCTACAACTCATATGTTATTCGATTTTAAACACTGTGTAATAGTATAATGTCATTCTCTATCTCTAATTATTTTCAAAATCTAACAATTAAACAAATTTCAAGCTACCTTTAATTTGTATTGATTTATGGTTGTACAACAAGTATTGAAAGAGTCTTTTCAGCTTTTGATTACATCAAGAACAAGTTTAGAAATTGAATATGCGATCAGTTCGTGAATGATTGTCTAATATGATATACAGAGACAATTTTTTTGAATAGTGTAGACCCTAAGTGTGTTCTAGAATCATTTTTTAATATGAAAACACATTGTGAATTTTTTCAATGTATGAGTAAAGTATTTCTTATTTAAATATTTTTTATTAATTATTTTAGAATTATTTGTATTTAATTTATTTTTTTAAAATGGACACCCCTAGGTAAAATTTATGGGTCCGCCACTAGGTGAAACCGCTGGTCTGATTGGCTCAGGAAGTAGGGATGGCAAATTACCATGGATAATTATACCCAAACCCAAAAAGACCCATTGATAATGGGTTGGGTATGGGTGAAGTGCATATGAGTTTGAGGATTTGTAGATGGGTTTGGGTAAGGTATGAATATTGCTTCTATAATCTAAATGGGTATGGGTTGGATATGGATATCCATTTACTTGAGGGTGTTTTAACTACACATGCAAAAATTGGACCTATTTGTAAAACTTGAAAAGTTTAGGTACCAAAATGTAAGACCAAAAAAATTTAGGTACCAAAACGTAATTTTCCATCGATATTTTGAGGACTTATATGCAAATAAAATTAGGTACTAAATATGCATATCTATTAAGTTTGGGTACCAAACTGTAAGTTGTATTTGGGCATGGGTACAAACCCAAATCTATTTGATATAAACCCAACTCAACCCAAAGTAAATGGGTATGAGTACAAACCCATCAAACTCTACCCATATCCATCTAATTTGGATTTCATACACAACCCAATTAGGTTGGATAGTAAGAAACCCATGGGTATGGGCAAAGTTGTCATCCCTATCAGGAAGTGAGAGGTCTTGAGTTTGATTCCCAGCTGCGCCGCTTGTATGTTTTTGGGGACAAAGTTTCTCGATATTGTGTCTTGTACAGGTGCTCCCTAGGTTTGATAGACTCCGCTGTCACAAAGTGTCACGTGGGGTTGAGGTTCATCGATTTAAAAAAAAAAACATTTTTAGTCTGATTCCGATATATTTTCGAGTTCCGGAAAAATCGCTTGACATTCTTGTGGTGATTCATTTCGTCCTGATAATTTTCATCATTAATGTTGAGCCTCTCGATGTCCATTTACCAAAAATCTTATTTTTTCACTTTGGACTATGCAATCTTTCCAGGTAATTGTTCCATTGATAATTTTCATCCACCTCTGTCAGTAGTGACCCGGTCAAGACTAACTTGACCAATTAACATATTTTACAGGATTACTATATGAGTTATTACGAAATCGGTCGATATTCTTGACGTATTCCATTGCATAATAATGTTTCATATCTATCTTTCAAATCGGGTCCGTTGATGTCAGTCTGGCCTATTAACATACTTGGTGAGGTTACTTTGTTAATTTCGATCGTATCAATTGACATTGTTGTTTGAATTTTGGGTCTTTGCTTTAACTCGTGAATTAGTAGAAAGTTGCAACACCTTTACTTGATTCGTTTTAATATGATGATTATGATCTCCCTATCAAGAAGATCAACATGCATGAAGTACACTGACCAACAACAATCACCTACGAGTCCAAAACTGTCACATAATAGACCCTTTCATCGATAATTTAACTGTTTGTTCGCGTTTGATTACTCATTAATTACTCCGTAACAATTTATCTTTGAACTTATTGTGAAAAATAACATCATATATAATTATCGCACTGATCAATGTCTCCCTTTCCCCTCTATTGGACTCTTACGTGTGAAATATCAAGAAAGAACCAAAAAGAATACAGAACTCAGCCGGGGCGACGACTATAAAAAATCAGGAATTCTTCCCTTCCCCCAAACGATCAACACCATCGATTCTAATTCTCTTACGATAAAAAGCCCCCCCCCCCCCCCCTAGAGAGATCCCCTTCACCATTCCACCACTCGAAAAAGGCAAAATATAAAGGTGTACCCTCTCAGCGGCAACCAGAACCTTTTCGTGTGCGCCGGTGGCCAGCCCTATTGGAATGATGATTCGAATTACCAACAGCAGCAGCTCGCACTTCATTTGATCACTCTGCATCAAGCTGCTGATGTAAGGAAGAAGGCAAGCTTCCCATGAAGTGCAGATTTGGTTCAAGTCGGAACGACGCTGTTCTTCTCCTATCCAGAAACAGGGATTGAAGTGAAACGTTGTCGTTCTGTTGCGTGAAGAAGCGTGGAGCTCCAAGTCGCTGCCGTTTTAGTTAATCTCTGTTAGAAGTTAGTTAGCCAGCTGTACAGGTTTTATTGGTTAGTTTGAGTTGTTAGTTTTTACTGTAGATTAGTCGTTGCTAATCAACTTTACCTTCTCTGTACAGCTTTGTATATAAATGAAAATGCAAAACCAAGGAGCTCTCAGTTGAGAATCCTTCCACAAAAACCCTATCTATTCAATTTCTTCTCAAGCCCAACACAATCGAGGTGAGGGATGACCAAGGCCGTCAAGCCAGCTCAGCTGCGTACCCATTCAGAGACTGGCCGGTGGTCGCGAGGATCCATCCAGAGGGCATCGGCACCGAATTGACGGCGTTAGATGTTAACGGCGGCGTCATCAGTGGTGACAGATTGAAGACCCTCTATAGAACCTTTGTGGGAATTTGGCGGCTGGCCAACTGTGCCGACGTCCAGTTCTTTTGTTCCTACATTGGACCCGAACCCGGATCCGGACCGATTAAGGTCGAAAAGAATTCCCACCCTTCGTATGGCACTCGTACATCAACAAGCAGCCGGCAGAAGAGATGGCTGAGAAGGACAGCTTGATCAGGAATAAAGACGAGGAGATTCGCAAGAAAGACGAGGATCTGGATGCAGTGAAGAAGAAGATTTGGGAGTTGAATGGAATTGCGAAGAAGCGCGGGGACGAGATTGCGAAAGAAGGATGAGGAGATTGGGGAGAGTTTCATGGACCTCGAGGCAACAAAGAATAAGGTGATGGAGTTGGAAACGATTCTCGAGTGGAGGGAGGAAGAGATCGTCAAAAAGAATAAGGATCTGGAATCGAAGGATAAAAAAATGGAGGAGCTTGGAGCGATTATTGAGAAGGGCGACGAAGGTGCTTCAAAGAAAATTCATGAGCTGGAGGGAAAGAATAAAAAGTATGAGAACCTTGAATCAGTTATCAAGGAACCGGACACGAAGAAAAGCAAGATGGAAGAGGTAATAATAGTTATCAAGAGGAAAGAGGAGATTCACAAGAAAGATGAGGATCTGGATGCAGCAAAGAAGAAGATTAGGGAGTTGAATGGGATCGTGAAGAAGTGCGAGGACGAGATTGTAGAGAAGGATGAGGAGATTGGGGATAAGTTTGTGGACCTTGAGGCAACGGAAAGTAAGGTGATGGAGTTGGAAGCAGTTCTCGAGCGGGGGGGAGGAAGAGATCACGAAGAAGAATAAGGATCTGGAATCGAATGATGAAAAGATGAAAGAGCTTCGAGCGATTATTGAGAAGGGCGAGGAAGATGCTTCAAAGAAAATTCAAGAGTCGGAGGGAAAGAATAAAAAGATTGAGGAGCTGGAATCAATTATCAAGGAGCTAGATGCGAAGAAGAGCAAGATGGAAGAGAAAATCTAAAGAATATATAATAGTAGAGGTTTGGAGAATTTTCAGCATTCAAAATTTGCTTCTTTCTCCTAATTTTTACTAGGGGCAAATTAGTCCAAATATTTACCTGACCCGCTACATTCTCCCGCCCAAAACCTTCTAATAAAAGAGTGCTCCCAATTGTGGCCCATAATCAAGGCCCATTATGTTTTTATATTTGACATCTCTCAATTAAAGCCCAACGCCCAATTTGCTGACACTATTTGTTCCCTCATCCCGCTAGGCCCTCTCAAATACTTTAATTTCTGTGTTGGTGAAGAAATTTATGGAGAGGAGAAAGAGTTTACAGAAATCCATGTTTTTTTCCTAGGGGTGGTAAACGGTAATCCGGTAAACAGTAATCCGTTTTACCGAACCGTTTACCGGCGGTATCCGCAGCCGAGCGGGAAGTTGGGGGAGTCGGTTTACCGGACACGGTATCGGTAAATACCGACGGTAAATCGGTATTACCGATACCGAATCCCCCCTCCCTACTCCCTAGTGTTGCGCTGTGTTTTGTTGCTTTACTCCCAAAAATATAATATATTACATACATGAATGTAAGTATAGGCCTAAAAAATATTGTAAATAAGAGTTAAAAATATATTATTAATTACAAAAATGATGAAAAAAACTCAAAAAAATCAAAATATTACAACATCACCCCACTTCAAAAATTCGGTTCGGTAAATATTCGGTAAACTGACCGAAAAACCGCCCGAAATCGCCTCTCACGGTATTTCGGTAATACTGGTTTGTAACCGTTTACCGGTAATTCGGTAATCGGTATCGGTAATCGATAACCAATTTGGCCAACTTCGGTATACCGAAATCGGTAAATTCGGTAAACGGTAAATTGTTTACCGACCGAATCCCACCTCTATTTTTTCCCTTGTCCCGTTGGGCCCTCTCAAATACTTCAATTTCTATGTTGGTTTTTTTCCCTCGACAAAATTGATTCTATACTAGCTGGGTGGAAAGCAGTGATTGTGAGCTTGACAGCTAGAGTTACTCCAGCGCAATTAGTGCTCTCATCACTTCTGGCCTACACTATGCAGACTTCTTTTCTTCCAGCTAGCATACGAGATTATATCGACAAAAAATTCAGAGCTTTCATTTGGGGCAGCTCTGATTTTTGCCGAAAAATCCACTTGGTTGACTGGGAAACTGTCTGTAGACCGAAGGATGAAGGAAGTTTGGGTCTGCGAGGAGTAACAAGATCAAATGAAGCTTATGAAATTTTACTTTCACATCTATGGACTATGCAATTTCTTTTTTTGTAATTCATTTCGTGGTAAATTCGTCCGAATTTTTCAGTAGTGACTCCGTCGATTCTGGCTATTAGCATACTTAGAGTGATTATTTCGCGTGAATTGCAACTGATCAATTGATTGACATTCTTGTGGGTAATTCGTTTTGAGATAATCTTTGACCAAATCGATCAATAGTGAGATTGATGATGCTAACTCTTCCTACTAACATACTCATCGTGATTATTGTGTGAGTTTTCGTTGAATCGGTTGACATTCTTGTTTGAAATCTATAGTCCGTTTCTCGCAAGTCGCAACTATGGCTTGTTATTCAGAAGAAAGTTGTGGCGTCCTTCATTTCATTTGTTCAAAGGTTACTATGATCTGATCTCCCCTTCGAAAAGGATCAACATGACATTACAGTGGTCAACAAGGTCACCTGGAATTACAGCTTACATTATGCAATACAAAATCAAACGGGTTTCAGGTTTATTTTTTTTTTTTTTTTTTATGAACGGGTTTCAAGTTTCAACGGTACAGTAAGCAACAGTTTTCAATATGGTCTCTGTTCCTAGTTCCCGTGATTACTAGGGCCAGGTGCAGGGGAAGCAGCAGAAGCCGGCGAGCAAGCAACCGACAACGGAGGTCCACACAGTCCAGGATTCCCGGCAAAACTCGAAGCAGAGAAATTGGCAAACCCACTCGGAATCTGCCCCACCAGCCGATTATTCGACACATCGAACCACGCCATTCGACCTAACAAATTCGGCATCGCCAAATCCCCAGGAAGCTCCCCACCGATCCGATTGTTATCCGCCCGAAACTCCACCAGGCTCGACATCTTCCCCCACATGCCGCGGGGCAGAGCACCGTCGAAACTGTTGTCCGCAATCACGAGCCGTCTCAATTTGGTCAAAAGGGGGAGAGAGCCAGGAACAGGGCCTTGCAACTGGTTCCCGCCGAGGAACAGGTGGGTCAGATTCGCGCAGTTCGCGATCTCCGGCTGAAGCGGGCCGACGAGGCTGTTGTTGGTGAGGACCAGCACGCGGAGAGAAAGTTGGGCCGAACAGAGTCCTCTGGTTTCCAGGTGCCCGCTGAGACCGAGACCTTGTAGGAATATTGCCACGATGCGAGACTCCGAATCGCAGGTGACACCGGTCCAGGAACAAGGGTCGGAGGTTTCGTTCCAACCGAAGTTGGGGAGAGGAATGGTCCTGCCGCGGGTGAGGAATTTCATGAACTGGAGGAGGGGGAGCCTTACATCCTCTGTTTCTGAGTGCGACGGCGGCGGAAAGGTTAGGAGGAGGAGGAGAAGGGTGGAAATGGGAACGACGACCCAATTGGGGATTCTAGCCATTGCTGGTGGCTGTTTTGAGAGAGGAGTTCGTTTGGTTCTTCAGTTGTGGGCTTTTTAAAGACGGTTGATTGATTCCTATGAAGCAAACGGACGCAGTTGACTGAAACTTCTATGGGAAAGTTTTGGTGTAAGGGGACGATCGAGCCAAGAAGAAACAGACATCGGAGAGAAGTCCATGGTTAGATGCCGGCATTTACATTTTTTTTTTTCTTTTTTTGATGCGCCGGCATTTAAAAAATTTAAAATACATCGGGTGTGGAAATTTGATAAGAGTGGACGGCATTCACAAGTCAACTTTCTCATTGGCAAGAACATGGCGATTACTTGCTTTTAAAGCGGATATACAGTGGCGGAGCGCCGGAGCCACATGGGAACGAGGAGGTCTCATACACCACCTCAAATATGAAATACACACTTAGAGATATTAAGAATTGTAAAATCGTATTAAAGTTGTACCATAAAAGTCAATAATAAAGTGTTTTGTTGGCTGAAATGTGATTTAATCGGCTTAACTATTTCACGCCACTAAAACCACCTATCATCTTGGGCTTCAATACGCGATTCCTTTGGTCGGACTATTGGTACAATCTTGCAACACCGAAAATTTATTACCAATGATTAGTTGAAAGAAAGAGCTGAACACCAACATCTTTACCACTAACCTAGCCATTATTTCATGGTTCATATTTAACAACTAACATATTTGTGACATAATTCAATCTTCCATAAATGACTTTTAGATGGATACATTGGAGTAACATCATTGGTAGTTTGGATGATGAGTGTTTTATATATTTTTTTATAATGTGAATGTTAGAAGTATAGGTAGTGAATTGTAATTAGTCATTAATTATTTGTTAATTACCTAATACTAAGTTAGAGGTTGCTCCTCCCCATGAATTAGGGTATATATTGTGGTGATAGCCAGAATTGTAACCTAATGATTCTCGACTAATACGATTGACTTTGAGAGGTTGCTCCTCTCTGTTGATTAGTCTCAACGATACTCGTTGAGAATACCACATAAATCTTGTGTTGGTCCTTCTCTTGATTATGTTTAACATGGAGTTACAATTTTATTTCAGTATTTGATATGAGGTCGTAAACTTATAGTATGTGTAGAATGATCATTAGTTTTTTTTTTTTTTTGCATTGAGGGAGGCGCAAGGCCAAAGAAAAGAAAAGTACAGAGACTAAGAGGAGGTGGAAGGGGTAGCAACCACTCTTATAGGGAAGTTGATGGCTCGCTGATCATCCGGAAGGAGAGTTTGAAGCTCACTCGGCGGTGCTTCTAGTTCATACATGTCGTAGGGATAGACGCGACTGTGCTTTGAGAGTCAGTCTGCGACTCTATTCCCTTCTCGGTAAGTACGTACCAGATTCACCACCCAATCTTGAGAAATCTTGCGTCGGATAGTCGTTAAAAGAGTCGCATAGGGGTGGAGAGGGTTTGTCCTGTTGTTCACAAGCTGGGTAGCCAATTGAGAGTCAGTTTCCAGGATCAGAGCTCTACATCATGTGTTCCAAGCTAATATGAGACCATGATAAATAGCCCAGAGCTCAGCCATAGTAGCAGAACAAGAACCCAAGCTTGAGACAAAGTCGCACACCCACTCATTGTTGTCGTCTCGTAGCGCCCCCTGCACCAGCAACATCGCGGCTAGGATCCGTTGCACCATCTACATTCATCTTCTGCCATCCTGCTGGTGGTGACTTCCAACCAATTTGAGCTTCAATGCTGTTGGGAAGGAGGTTGTTCCAGCAATCGAGCTTGGGGAGTTCGAGGCTTTGTACCATGATCAGCTTTGATCTTTATAGCTTGAGTGAGGGATGGTGCCGACAGCGCCTTGTTTGCTCCATGGAAAACCCCTTCATTTCTATTCTTCCAGATGCACCACAGCGCAATGCAAAAGAAGGCATTCCAGGGCAGCCCTGTGGGAGATAGCTCCTCGCAATTAACATTTCTCTTAAAACACAAGTCCCAGCTGCAGCCGAAGAACTCTGCTTGGAACTCTCCTCTGATCGTACGGCTCCAGAAGTAAGCTGCTGGCGGGCATTCTCTGAAAATGTGGCTAATGCTTTCTGTGTGTGTAGCACATCTATAGCATGGGACCTCCTGAGTTAGGTGTCGCCTCTCTTTTTGTTCATTAGAGCTGATCTTCCCTTGCACAATCAACCATGTGAAACATCTCACACATTCCGGCACCGATAACCTCCATATCATCTTCCAAAGTTGTTGATTTATGTCTGAAGAAGGAGGTTGCTGCATCTAGTAAGCACTCATGGACGAAAACCTCTCATCCAAAGTCAACTGCCAGAAAAGGGTGTCTTCCTCCGACGTCAAGGGGTCAACTGCGTGTGTGGTAATTTATCATTGGATCACTGGTGGAAGAATATTGCTGAACTTTTCAGTCTTCCAGTTCCCTTCCTCGTCCACAAAATCTACCATCCTCGCATGAAGATCCTCCTTGGGAATATTGTCCAAAGCAAGATACTTGAGTAGTACCTGCGCAAGCCACACATCCAACAAAAAAATAGTTTGATTACCTCTATGAATATTCCAGGCGCAATCTTTTTTAATCAGGTCTTCTGCCTTCATAAGGCTCGACCAGGAGAAGGAACTTCCCTGAACTGGCTTGAGCAGCTCCAGATGGTTTTGACCTTTCCCATACTTTGACTCGACCAGTTGCACCCACAGCGCCTCCTTCTCTTTGATGACGCGCCATCCGCTCTTGGCCAGCATAGCTAGATTTGCTTGTCTAGTCGAGCGAATGCCCAAGCCGCCATTCTTCTTAGGCTGCAGTAGCTGAGGCCAGGACACTAGATGGAGTTTTTTCTTTTCTTCTGTATCTCCCCATATAAAACTTCTATTTATCCGATCTAGAGACCTGCAAACATTCATAGGATGAAGTTCTGTTTGCATAGGATAAATAGGGATGGATGCCGAAATGGATTTAACCACTGTGATCCTAGCTGCCAGAGAGAGATGTTTAGTTTTCCAAGGGTCAAGCTTTCTCTGAATCCAAAGCATGAGCTCCTGATATCTAGTTTTAGTCACTCTGCCATGGATGGCCATCACGCCCAGGTAGCGCCCAATATTGACCGTGAGGGGAATCTCTACTCGATGTGTCAGTCTTCTCGCCACCCTTCTATCGATGTTGGCCGAGACAAAAATGGCGGATTTGCTATAATTAACTCGTTGTCCTGAGCTCCCACAAAATTCATCCAGACATTGCTTGATGATCCAAACTTGGGCATCTTCCGCTTCTACAAAAAGGATAAGATCATCTGCAAAGAAAAGATGAGGAAGCATAGGCCCTCCTTTAGACAACCTCAAGGGTTTCCATAGCTTGTCATGGATAGCCTGGTCAATCCTATGAAAGAGTCTCTCCATGCATAGCACAAAAAGATAAGGTGAGAGAGGGTCTCCCTGACGGACTCCTCTGGTCGGAGTGATTGGAGTTGAGAGCTCTCCATTCCACAACAGCCGCATCTTGTTATTCTCCACGCAGAACATGATGCAGTTGATCCACGAGCTAGGAAGTTCGATCCCTTGAGTGTATCTCGTAGGAAGTCCCATCTGAGCCTATCATAGGCCTTCTCAAGGTCGATTTTCAGCACCATTCCCCCTCTCTTGCCTTTTCTCTTCCTCTGCGTGTGTAGAACTTCCTGCAAAACAATAATATTGTCAGTGGTCTGCCTCCCGGGGATGAAGCTACTTTGGCGAGGGGACACCAGCTTCCTCGTGATAGGTTTCAGCCCGTTTGTGATGGCTTTGGTGATTGCTTTGAAGCACACATTGTTGAGGGAGATCCGGCGCAGCTGGGCAACCATCTCCGGGTGCTCTACTTTAGGGATAAGGACAACTGTCGACCTTACCACCTTTCTTGCTAGCACCCCTGTAGAATGATCATTAGTTTCATCTCCATAAGATATTAAGATTTAGGTTCATTTATGCAAGACAGGCCCAGAGGGTGTGCCTGCCGGCCCTCCGGCACAGGGCCTCCAAATTTTGGGGGCCTGCGGACCTTCATTATATATATGACTAATTACTATTGCAGATTATTAGAGTTCGATTATAAATTTAAAATGATAGTAAATTTATGAATTGGGTTTTGATTATGGGTTTAAAACAATAATAAAAATTTAAGTCCGAAGGTTAAAGGAACTAACGAATCACATGAGGCGAATACTTATTTTCTTATTAAATTTTTCTTCAAACCATATAACATAATTTATTTTTTTCGTGTGTTTCCTACATAGAACAAAGAGGTAATTGATGATGCTCGTTATTATTATTATAATTATTAAATTAGTTGCTTTAAATTTCTTCATTTTTAGCTTTCCAAGGGGGAAAAGAATTCAATTTCGTCAATTAATATTCTTGTATTACCAAGGCAATAATGCTAAATTAATTAAATAATTTGCATTGATTTATTAAACGTTAACCAAATTAATTAGGTACAGGCAACCAATAGTATAAAGAAAAATAAATAAATCAATTATAAATAGTTTGCCATCATGTGATATGGCTAATTCTTATGGTAAAGCTATAGTTTCTTAAGAATTATTCAACATATTTTTGAAATTTTAATTGTTTTGAAACTTGTCGATTGTTTTCCAATTCCAAGCATATTTTATAAAATCTTAATAATTATTCATGTAACTGTTGCTACAGCAGGAAGAAGCTTTTCCAAATTGAAGTTGTTCAAGTCTTATATGCTTTTTACAGTGACATAATAAAGGTTTAACGGGTTAGCCATGTTAGCAATTGAGATTAACTATTTGGCTGATGCAAAGATGAAAGAGCGAATAGAGAATTTTATTTCAAATAATATTAGACGGTTGTTACTTTTTAAAAATGATAGATGATTTTATTCCTTTTGTAATCACGTTGTGAACTTATGTATTTTATCATTATTATTTAATAATTTTTATTTTTAATAAATTTATGGGAAAAAATTGTACGACCACATTTTAAATTTTCGAACAGGACCTCCGAATATAATTAGTCGGCCCTGCATTTATGAATTGTTTCTCTAACATTTTGATTAGTATTGTCAATACATTACTTAATGCTATTACAAGTCCTTTGATTTAAATAATTAGCATGAATAGATACTATTGTCAAACCAATACACTATTTCGTACTATTTTTACCGCATAAAAAACACATACATGATTTTCATTAAATAAGTGAGAAGTTTAAAACACACCACCAAATTATGATTGAGCCTTATAGTAAACACCAAATAACAACACAATAAAGTGAAATCACATGCAACTTTCTTTATTCTTGAATGATCAGTTGACAGTTGCTACATGCCACCCACGTCATGACAACATGCACTGATCTTTGGAAAACATGAAAAAGAGAGTGAAAAAAAAAACGTGGCGGCCCAAACCAGCCAGACTGGGCTCAGGCACATGCAGGCGTGGGGGCTGGTGCAGGGAAGAACGGGCAAGTCCCGGACAACGGTGGTCCACACAACCCTTGATTCCCGGCAAAAGCGGATGCAAAGAAGTTCTTAACGCGCCAGGAATCGGGCCCGTCAAATTATTATTAGAAACATCGAAGCCCACCAAACTTCCGAAACCCTCAACAACATCAGGAATCGGCCCACTGAACTGATTGTCCTGGGCCCGGAACTCGCACAAGCCCGTCATCATCATCCTCCCCAGGCTGCGCGGGAAAGCGCCTTCGAACCGATTCCCCGAAATCACGAGGTTGGTCAGGCTCTTGCACTCCGCGATCTCCGGCGGCAACGGACCATGGATGTGCCCGTTGCCGCGGAGCGACAACGCGGCGAGCAATGGAGCCGCCGCGCAGAGCGTCCTGGCGTCCAGGACTCCTCAGAGTTCGAGGACGTCTAAGGTGACGACCACGACGCGGAAGTCCTGGTCGCAGAGGATGCCCACCCATTTGGCGGTGCACGGGTCGGAGATGGCGTTCCAGCCCCAGTTGCGGAGCGGCGGCGGGTGTGCTGATAATTCGCCACCGCCTCGGAGTATTGGGCTGTACAGATCCAGCCCACGTACGTGATGCCCATGCTCACGAGAATTGTGCGGCTGCTGCCCATGTTGCCCATGCAACTCATGTAGCCGTACCCTGCCAGGACATGGACTCCTCTTGTATACGTACACATTGTACCCTAGATGCTAGTGACAATGGGTATAAATATGTAACCACGGCAATACGCCGTAATTATCAATAACATAAGTCGCATATTCCCGTGGATGTAAGCCTCACCCACTGTGAGGAAGAACCACGTAAAATCGTTGTCTCTCGTATCGCTTTCACATAATTTTACATGGTATCAGAGCTGTGCTAAGCTCCAGTTCCTTGTTTCTCGCCCGCCATGAGTCTCGACGGTGAAGAGCCCCAAGGCAGCCCGTCCGGCGGAGCCACAATCAAGGTCGAAGAATCTCTTCCCTCTGTTTATCTTCTTTCCCCATCAGATGGTCCTGGTAATCTCCTCGTCGGTGATGTCTTGACGGCGTCCAATTTCAGTGAATGGGTCCTTGACATGAAGGATGCCCTAATTGCCAAGAACAAATATTGTTTCGTTGATGGTTCTCTTCTCAAGCCCACCAACGCGTCAGAGAAGGCTGCTTGGATACGCTGTGATGCCATGGTGAATGGTTGGTTAAAAGCTTCTATGGACAAGGAAATCCGAAGCAGCATACGCTTCGCCGAACACGCTGCGGAAATATGGGCCAATCTTCAAGAAAGGTTTGGTAAAGGAAGCTCGTCTCGCGCATACGAATTGCGCCATCTCATCAGCCTCTTACAACAAGATAAGAACACCGTTTCCTCCTTCTATACTCGTTTACGTGGTTACTGGGAGGAAATTTCACAAATTGCTCCACTGCCGAGCTGTGTTTGTGGTATTTGCACATGTGGGGTATCCAAGAAAGTGCGAGAACAACAAGATACAGCACGCCTCTTCGAGTTCTTAATGGGCCTAGACGAAACGTTCAGCGCCATTCGATCCCAGATCCTGGCGTCGCGTCCCGTTCCAGCCCTCAGTGAAGCTTTCCACATGCTCCTGAACGAGGAACAGCAGTGAAGCGTCTCCCAGAATCGCAACGCTCCACCTGAAGCTGCTGTCTTTGTTGCTAAAGGGGATTCCGACAAGCAGGCGCGCAGCACAGGGGATAACAAGAAACGCCTGCGTTGCACACATTGCCAGCGCATCGGACATACCCGTGACTCGTGCTATAAGCTCGTGGGTTACCCACCATGGGATGAAAAGGGAGAAAGGCCTCAACGACGTCGACCCAACACTAATTCAGGGGCTGGAGTCCTCGGCCGCGAGCCGAAAGCTTCACAAGTGGAATCCGAACAAAGCCCTATTCCTGGCTTCACAATTGCCAACTTGACCAGCTTAAATTGTTTTTCGCAGGAAAGGGCAAATCCACAGAAGACCCCACAGCTAATATGGCAGGTACGGTTTCTTATGAATCTGACTGGTTGCTCGATTCTGGTTGCAACGAGCATATTACTATGGATGAATCGCTATTATCTCATAAAGAAGTTCCTATTCATGTTCAACCTGTTCGTATTCCTAATGGCGAAAGCATCCCAGTAAAACATATTGGTTCAGTTCAGCTCCAACATGACTTTATCCTTGATCGAGTATTACATGTCCCTGAATTTAAATGTAACCTCGTCTCGGTGAGCCGATTGACTAAGGATAATCGTGTTGCCTTGATTTTTCTGGATAATTTTTGCGTAATTCATGACTTACGCTCTAAGAAATTGATTGGGAAAGGTGAGCTACACGATGGATTGTATTATCTACGCTTGTTTGGGGCTGCACAAACAAGTGCGTGTGCTGTGGAGCGTGGAGGTACAAGTTCGGCGACTCTTTGGCATGCTCGCCTTGGGCATCCGTCTCCAGAAAAGACTTTGCATTTGAAACACTTATTATCTTTTCCTGTTGGTTTGAATACTGGCCCTTGTCATTCTTGTTTACGGGCAAAACAGACACGAGAACCTTTTTATTCGAGCATGATTAAGACTACTACTAGATTTGAACTCATTCAAGTTGATATCTGGGGAGGTTATAAAATTGCTTCACTCAGTGGTGCTCATTATTTCCTAACCATTGTGGATGATTTTACTCGTGGTGTCTGGGTCTATCTCTTGCGCTACAAGTCAGAGGTCAAACGCTATCTGCTCCAGTTCTGCAACATGGTTCGGTCTCAATTTAACTGTACAGTCAAGCGCATTCAGGCTGATAATGGGTATGAGTTTCAAACCACTGGTCTTGTTGACTTCTATGAGCAGGAAGGCATTGTGTTGCAGACTTCGTGCACTGACACGCCACAACAAAATGGAGTTGTCGAGCGAAAGCATCGCCATATTCAAGATACCGCTCGCGCACTCCGATTTCAGGCAAGCTTACCTATCCGGTTTTGGGGGGAATGTATTCTTACAGCAGTTTACTTGATCAATCGACTTCCCACCAAAGCCACCGGTAAGACACCATTTGAACTAATTTTTGGTCGCACTGCAACTTATCGTCACCTTCGTGTCTTTGGTTGTCTTGTATATTACAAGGACACGCATGCCCACTTGGATAAGTTTGGTGAACGAGGGTGTGCAGGTTTGTTCTTAGGCTATGCCGCAAGTCAGAAGGGATACAGGATTTATGACTTGACTTCTCGTCGCCTTATCACTTCCCGCGACGTGAAATTTCAAGAGGATATATTTCCGTTTCAAGATGGTACCCATAAAACTCTTCATTGGATCCCTCATCCTCCTATTGCAGCTGTGCCTGAGTCCCCCGACTCTTCTCCTCTGACGAGCCCGGAGCATTCACCTACTGGGCCGGAGCCCAGCTCTCCTGATGCTTCATTCGGGCCCTCTTCCTCCAACCCAACGCAGCCCAAGTCGCCCTCTCCTCATACGTCCTCCGTCCCTGCTAATACTGGGCCAACCCAGCTGGATAATGGGCCGGAGTCCAGCTCCTCATCTCCTTTGTCTGGGCCATATGCTTCCAGCCCAGGACCTCACGCTGAGACCACTTGTCCCTCGGCCGATTCCCCTGCTCCAGTGGTTCGGCGTAGTGATCGTGTGCGCCACCGCCCCAAATACTTGGCCGATTATGATACCAACCTTGCACCACACTCCGGACAGGGAAGCACCACTAATCTCGTTCGTTACCCTCTTGCAAGTCATGTTAATTATACTCATTTTAAGCCTGTTTATCGTGCCTTTCTTGCAGCTCAAACACACTATGATGAACCCCGATTCTTCTACCAAGCTGTGCGCGAACAAGTTTGGCGGGATTCCATGACTAGAGAGATTCGTGCATTAGAAGAAAATGGCACGTGGAGTCTTGTTTTCTTACCCCCTGGTAAACGTACTATTGCTGCCAAGTGGGTCTACAAAATCAAGTTCTATCTTGACGAAACCATCGAGCGCTTCAAGGCACGTTTGGTTGCGAAAGGCTACACCCAGATAGAGGGACAGGATTTCCATGACACCTTTGCTCCTGTTGCTAAGCACGTCACCATTCGTTGCCTCATCGCCATTGCTGTCAATCGCGGTTGGCACTTACATAAACTCGACGTCAACAATGCGTTCCTCCATGGTGACCTTGATGAGGAGATTTGCATGGAGATTCCTCCTGGTTTTCGTAAGCCTGGTGATACTCGTGTATGTCGCCTTCACAAATCCCTGTATGGACAGCGTCAAGCTTCGCGACAGTGGTACCAAAAATTCACCACCTCTCTCTGCGAATTTGGTTTTCGCTCCTCTCCTGCTGACGCGGCTCTCTTTATCTACCAGCGGGGCAGTACCTTCGTCACCGCTTTAATCTATGTTGACGATGTCATCTTGGCTGTTAATGACTTGGACTTTATCTCACAGGTGAAGCAATTTCTTGACAAGAAGTTCAGTATTAAAGATCTTGGCATCCTCCGCTACTTTCTCGGCATTGAGGTTGCCCGCACTTTTGATGGCGTTGTGCTTAATCAACGCAAGTACACTCTTGATATTCTTGAAGATGCAAGTGTTGAGGCTTCTCGACCGAGCTCGTTTCCCATCGAGCAGAATCATCAGCTCACTCGTACTACTGATGATCTTCTAGCCGACCCCTCCCCTTACCGACGCCTCGTAGGGCGCTTGCTTTACTTGACAGTGACGCGTCCGGATATTAATTTTGTTGTCAACATTCTTAGCCGGTTCGTTCATGCCCCTAGTACAGTGCATTGGGATGCTGCCCTCCGGTATCTAAAATCAGCACCAGGCCAAGGCCTGTTCTTTCCAAAGAACAGTAATTTGCAGCTCACTGCTTACTGTGATGCTGATTGGGGTGGCTGTCAGCGCACACGCCGCTCAACCACAGGTTTCTTCATCAGTTTAGGTGGCGCCCCCATATCTTGGAGCACCAAACAACAACAGGTTGTGGCGCGCTCCTCAGCTGAAGCGGAATACCGTGCCATGGCCAGCACAGTTAGTGAGGTTGTCTGGCTCCGCTGGTTACTCGCAGAACTCGGTGTTCCTCAGACTGCCTCTACCCCTCTGCACTGCGACAATCAGGCGGCTCTTCACATCTCCAACAACCCTGTCTTCCACGAGCGTACCAAACATGTGGAGATGGACTGTCATTTTGTTCGAGAACGCGTTATGTCCGGTGATATCCTTCCAGTCAAGATTCACACTGATCAGCAACTTGCTGATATCTTCACCAAAGGACTTGGCTCCGATCGTTTTCATTCCCTTCTTTCGAAACTGCACATTCGGGATCTTCATGTGTCAGTTTGCGGGGGAGTATTGGGCTGTACAGATCCAGCCCACGTACGTGATGCCCATGCCCACGAGAATTGTGCGGCTGCTGCCCATGTTGCCCATGCAACTCATGTAGCCGTACCCTGCCAGGACATGGACTCCTCTTGTATACGTACACATTGTACCCTAGATGCTAGTGACAATGGGTATAAATATGTAACCACGGCAATACGCCGTAATTATCAATAACATAAGTCGCATATTCCCGTGGATGTAAGCCTCACCCACTGTGAGGAAGAACCACGTAAAATCGTTGTCTCTCGTATCACTTTCACATAATTTTACACGGAGGGCGTCCATGAACCAGATCAGGGAGCTCCTAACAGTCGGTGATTCGGCGAGCGAGGGCTGTGGCAAGAGGAATGTGAGGAGGATGATGAGGGCCGAGATGGGAATCATATTGATCTGGTTTCGAGCCATTACGAGGGAGTATTGGATTCTTTTCTAACGATTCGAATTATTGCGACCAACTAACTGGGTTTTGACTTTTGAGGGTGAAGTGTTGTGTTATGGGAGGGAGGGATGTTGGCCGTTCAAATATATAGCGCAGTCGGCCGTTGGGGTGGGAGCAAAGCCAAGAGGAAGCAGACACGGCCGGCGTTTCATTTTCGTTCATAGGATTCGGATGGGGAGGATGATGATCATAACAATGTGTTCGATGTGCTTAATGTTGCTGGAACGAGGTAACGAGGTGCCGTACATGACTGTGGGGAATATGTTTTTGACAATGATTCATTATTATATACTCAACGTATAGATGTTAATTCTGTGAAAGTACTGTGTATTTCAGTTTAAGAACATTCCCTCCACATAAATATATAAGAAAATGGTTTTGGGTATGTGCTTCTTGAGAAACATTCATAATCAGTAGTTTAGTATGTAGGATACTAGGAATGCATGCTATCAACTTTTTCATCTAAGATCCTAATAGTTTTTCAATTATAATCTCTTCGTTATAAATTTTGACTTTGCCATTGATGATTCTCCACCAAACTTGAAGCAGGAAAATTGGCAAATCCACTGATAAATCTGCCCAACCAATTGATTATATCCGACACACTAAATATCATTAAGGATGACAATAGTAAATCGGGGATTTTTTACGGATTGGGGATGATCTGCTTTTTTTTTAATGAAACTTACTGTATTTATATAGATCGTCTCTAAATTATGGTTCTAGGATTATAATTTATAACTATCCGCACATAATTTATAGAAATACAACATATGAAGCATCAAATCATGTTTTATGTACTATTTGGGAAAAAATTTACAACCACCATCCTCAAACAACCATACATTAAGTATTTATTATATTGTGAATTATCTTAAAATGTGTGTTACACCTAGTCCTTTAATATTTTGTACAATTTCTAAACTGCATTTTACCCCAACAAAAGTTCTAAACTACCCTTCAATTGTAATATTAAAATCATCTAATTAACCTAAGCTGACAATTATGTTTGTCGTATAAGTGGAGAACCATCGCTTAAAGCTACTATATATCACGAATTAAGTCAAATAATAGCCATAGACAGCCAATACATTTCAACCATAGTGGATTATGCCCTGTTCACTTCCCATTTCGTTTTCTGTTTTTTGTTTAAAAAATGAAAAACAAGAAACAAATGACAAAAAACGTGTTCACTTGCCCATCTCGTTTTCGTTGGAAAAAACTGATTGTAACAAATGGGAAAACTATCGATAAACAATAAATACTCGTTTTCTATAACAAGGGGACGGGTTATTCCCCCGTTTCCCAGCGGAAATCGTGCGCTCTCCATTAATGAGATCGCCCGTTCGAATCACGGCAGCTACTGTTTTTATCTTTTTCCTCTGTGACCCTATACGCCGCCGTTTTCCCAACTATTTCATCCACCCCAACCCTAACCCTAGAAGAACTATGCCTTCAGCCGACCCCTCCTGGACTCCTCCCATAGCAATCGGCCGACACTTCCTTCTCCACCCAAACCATCAGCAGCCCCATCGTCTTCCTCCGCCAGCCTCGCGCTGCCATCATCTAATCCCCTGCGCCTCCTTCATTTTCCTCTCCCTAGCCAGCCCCGCGCCGCCGTCATCTGCGAGACGGAGGATTCCCTGCTAGCGATTCCTCCTCCAACCGCACATCGTCCTCCTCCTGCTGTCGACCCATTACAGGTAGCAGGATTACCAAAGTTTTTATGTGTTTCCAATTGTTGCAGGTGTCTATACCAAGTCAGCGACGTTATGTTCAGTATTGGGCTAGTGCACTTTCTTTTCCTAGGGGAATCAACAATGGCCCTCCTGATGTGAATTTGCCTCCACCATGTAGTAGAGAACTGCGACGAATTTAAAGCATGAACTTATTAGAGTATTCATGATCAAAGATTTCTTAAAGCATGAACTTATTAGAGAGTATTTCCTGTTGTATATGAAATCATGTTGAACTACGCAATTAAGTGGAGACATACGAATTATATTCTACGAGAAGATGATAGGAGGGAGACTCTTATAATCATGGCTACGGTTTTATGATAATCAAGAATCAGAAAACAGAATGAAGCAACTAAACAGGTTTTCATTTCAGAACTCAATTTCAGAACTCACCAAAATTCTCAGCTAAACAAGGTTTTTTCAGGTTTTGTTTTCTAGGAAATGACAGCTTCGTTTTCATTTTTATTTTGTTTTCTGTTGTGGCAGCTAACAGAAATGGAATGGCAAGTAAACGGCCCATTAGGGTTCCAAGGAGTAGAACGGAAGTACGGTTGAAGGTATCTACGATTCGACCATCTTTTTTTATTAGTTAACACAAAATTGACAACTACGCAGAGGGGACTAGCACGTTCATAGCATTTGTCTGCTAAAGTTGGTATAAATTTTAGGGTAAATACAATATATTAGCCACAACTATTATTAAGCGGAGAATTATAGCCACTACAATGGAAGACCAAAAGTGAAGCGGCGCGTTTTGCTTGCTGTTCACAGACGGTTTCTGATGTTCACATTCGTGAACTGGGCACTATCTCAGTATATAATGTGAGCTGAAAGGAAGAAGAAAAGGAGGCAAAAGTGAGAGAGAAAGCTTCTTCTTCTTGAAACCCTAGAGAGAAAAAGCACGAATCAAGAGGGAGAAGAGTTAGGGTTTTGCTCCAAGTGAAGATTTTGGAAGCTCCTCTTCAAAGGAGGACCTCTACAAGCACAAGGAGAGTTGAAGGCATCACAATGATGGTTTCTTTCTTCCTCTTTGTGTTCTTCCTTTGTTTAGAATGGAGTAGTTTCCCTTTTCACTTGGGTGTTGTAGAACCCTAACTTCTATCATGTAATTGTTGTGTGGATTGAATGATTGTGTGATGGTGGTATTTAATTTAAGTTTTGAGGTTTTTTTCATGGTGATTGTGCATATTGTTTGCTTGCCAATCTATTGTGCTATTCTAACCTAACTTAGAGAGAAGCCCCCTTATCTTAAGAGACTCAAATTGAGCTGGTTTTTTTAGGCATTCCATACCTCCTAACTAGGTTAACGTAGGGCAAACCTCTAACTTGGATTAGACACCTAGGTTAATTGTGATTATGCCATCGAAACTTTGGTTTGAGAGAGAAGGTAAGTCAACCCTCAATTGATTGGGCCAAGAGGGCTACAATCGTAGCATCTAATGTTTCCCTTCTAGCAATTGAGAAATGGTTTATAACCATTGTTGCACTTCCTACGGGTCGCAATTGCCTTGCCACACATCGCTTCATTCGATCCCACGATCCATGGTAGTTAGTTAGGGGGAAGCAACACCCGAGTGAAGCTTCTCACCAAGAGTTTTCCACCACTTTACATTTGAGTCCTGTTTTTCAATAGTAGATCATAGAGATTTTTGCAAAACAACGATCCACTAGATAATGTTTCAAACAATCGAGGTAGGGGTATATGGGCCGGCCCAGGTTGATATTTAATCATACTTGCCCTATATTGCAACCATCTAAGGTTTATACTTAGGCCTTAGGTGGGATTTTATTGTGATAGTCGGAGCGAGTCAGAGACTCAGCTACTTCTTGAACCATTTTGACAAGATCTTGGTCGGCGCTATCGGTCGGACTAGTGACAGGACGTTCAGCTTATGTAGAGGTAGGGAAGAACTCATCGACAGAAGGCACATCGACAGGATTAAACTTGTGGAATGGACAAACATCCTCCAAGAAGAAGACATCTCTGGAGTTATATATCACATGACGATCTATATCGAAGACCCGGTAGCCATGCTGTGTGATGGGATACCCGGCAAAAATTGCAGGCCTACCCCTTGTCGCAAACTTGGAGAGGCTAGGATGAGTGTCTTTTGTATAGACCAAACAACCAAATTTCTTGAGATGATCATAATCTGTACTGTTCCAAGCAAGACCTCATAAGGGTTTTATTCTGAATAGACGTGAGAGGCATGCGGTTAATCAGGTATGCCGTAGTAAGCACACACTCACCCCACAAATGGATCAGCAACCCGACATGGAATCGAAGTGCTCGCTCAGTGTCCAAAAGATGACGATGTTTGCACTCCACAACACCATTTTGCGGTGGAGTATCTGTGCAGGTTGTCTGAAGAACTATCCCTTCCTTCTCGTAGTAATCTCACAATTCGTGCACTGAGAACTCGCTCCTGTTATCACTCTGAGTGCGCTTGACTTGACTGTCATACTGCGCACGAACTTGATTACAGAAAAGTAGTAGATACCGAGCAACTTCGGACTTTGCTTGCAACAAATAAACCCAAACACATCGGCTAAAGTAATCCACAATTAGAGAAAATAATGAGCGTCTGTCAATGACACTTGATTATATCCACCACAAATGTCGATAGGAATAAGTGCAAAACATGACTTTGTCTTTATACTGCTAGCAACAAAGGGAAGACGAGTTTGTTTAGCACGCAAAAAATGACAAACACGGGTCCTTGTTAGCTACTAAAGTGCTGGAAATATATGGTTGCCAAACATTAAGCTTGGCTGTTGACGGGTGACCAACCCGTGCATGCCAAAGTGCCGAGTCTCAAACCGCTTTTTGTGCTGCGAAGGCCACATGATGACTGGTATCGAAGACTCTTAAGTAGTATAATCCATCCCCATGCTTACCCGTACCAACCATCGCTTTCGATCTTAATTTCTGAATGAGATAGAAATTACTAAGAAATATTGCAGCGACTGAATGATCTGCCGTGCGACGACTGACGGGCAACAGGTTGCACTGAAATTCAGGAACATGCTAGACACTTTGAAGAACTAAACCATTAGCCAACGTCGTATGGCCTATGCAACGAACTGGAATACCTGTCCCATTCGGGATACAGACATGTAGGGCCGAGCTTGATGCAAACTCGCCATCAAACAATGAAATATTCTTAACAATATGCTCATTACAACCGGAATCAATTACCCAGACATCTGACGGTGGAGAAGAAAACGCACCTGACATGTTTACTTTCGGTTGAGATGAGGGAGTAATGGTTGCCTTGGGTTCAGAATTGAGGAAGGCTTTGAGTTGCGGTACTCATTCAGCTATAAGTCCAGGAATGCTGAGTTCAGAGCTCTCCACGGCGCCCGCTTGCATGTGTTGTCATTGGTGTTGAGATTGGTTGCGACGACGCGAACTCTCCCCCTTCTCTCCAGATTTCGGTGGCCGCCATCCAATTATATCAAAACCTGATTCACATAAATGCCCAATTTTACCACAGTGGGTGCATTTTGGACGAGAATCCTAAGTTCTATTTTCCGAGTTTGTGAGCTCCCTCTGGCCTTGGAATGTCGCGGCCTCTACACGGGGACGAGAATCATGGGTAATGTTCATCTGTTGCTCATCATTAGCCACTGCATGACATGCTTCTCCTAGACTTGGTGGAAGCTCCAATGACAAAAGATGAGTGCGAACTGTGGAAAAATTGTCATCAAGGCCAACCAAAAAATCAAGAAGTCTCATCGACTCGTGGGACTCTCTCGTCCGCTGCTCAACGTTACATGTGCAGCGCCCACAAGTGCACTTGGCTGGCAATTCGAGTGATAGCCAGTCGTCCCATAAGCGTTTGAGTTTAGCATAGAACGCAGAAACACTTGACCTATCTTGACGAAGAGTAGTAATTTGACGTCTGATTTTATATCGACGAGGGAGAGAACCAGTACTGAAACGTTCTCGAAGTTCGTCGCAAATCTGTTTCGCAGTAAAATTGGTGCTCAAGCTGCTGCGGATCTCCCTTGTCATAGCTTGACGAAGCCAACCAACTACCATGGCGTTGCATCTTGTCCACACATTCAAATGCTCGCCTGACACAGGTCGCGAAATTGTGCCAAGAACAAAACCAAATTTATTCTTAGCGATGAGCGCATTGGACATCTCTGCAGACCACTCGCCGTAATTCAAATCGGTGAGAAGATCTCCGACGAAGACTTGACTGGGAGCATTGGACGGATGCAATAACAAAGGAGACGTTGGACCAATTACCTCCCCATCATCGACTGTTGGTTTCTTCTCCTCACTGGCCGAGCTCTCATCTCCCATGCTCGTGCGATGTGGAGGAACAACCAAGAAATCAACGAATACTAGGGCTTGAAATGACGGAATCCAAATCCTTATTAGGACCAAGACTCTGATACCATGAAAAATTCGACACTCGCGGAATTGACAAACGCACAACACAAGAATTTTACATGGTATCCATGTTTGACGTGAACAGGACTAATCCACGGTGAGCTCAACCGAGCTCACGACTTGACATTTTATTAGAGACTTGCCATTGCTAGCTTACCACAAACTCTCGGCAGCTTAGCTATTTATAGGACACAACTAGGGGGTCGTTTGGAGAATATGAGTTTAAATCTATAGATTGTCAACAATCTAAAGATTCTAACTCTTCGGATTATTGAAAATAGATTTTAAAATGTTCATTGTTTGGTAACTGTGATGGTTAACATTCAATGAAAATATAAAAAATTAATTTTATATTAAATAACATGTTTATCCTTAATAAAAAAATTAGAGTGGTTCAAGAAATATTAAAAATTTGGTTGATAAATATATTTTATATGATAAATAAACAAAAGAAAGAGAAAAGGTAGGAGGAAAAAAATCTCACGAATCTAGATATAGAATCTCTAATTATTAGAGATTTGAATGTAAAATGTCTTTCAAATTCTGGATTTCAGACAAATCATTCCCACCAAGAACTAAGTCATCAACATAAATCAGTATGCAAGTGTATGATGAATCTGTGACCTTGTAAAATAGAGAGGGGTCAGCCTTGCTAGCAGAATAGCCTTGTTGAATGAGAGTATCAGTGAGTTTGGAGAACCACTGTCTAGAGGCTTGTTTTAAGCCATAGAGACACTTCTTAAGTCGACAAACAGGGTCTTTAAAGCCAGGTGGGGGAGAGTAACCCTTAGGGAGAGCCATGTAAACCTCTTCTTCAAGCTCACCATGAAGAATGGCATTGTTAACATCAAGTTGATGTATATGCCAATTCCTCATGGCTCTAACTGCTAAGAAGGTCCTGACAGTTGTCATTTTGATAACTGGGGCAAATGTATCCTGGTAATCCACACCCTCTTGTTGTGTGTTACCCTTTGCCACTAATCTAGCTCTGAATCTGTCTAGGGAACCATCAGAGAGAACCTTGATTTTATAAACTCATTTGTTGCCAATCAGTTTCTTACCAATAGGTCTTTCAACGATATCCCATGTTTGGTTCTTGATCAATGCTTGAACCTCATGAGTCATGGCAGCTGACCATTGAGGTGACTGAGATGCTTCTTTATAGGTATTTGGTTCTTGTAGGAAGAAATGTTTAGAATGAAAGATTTGTAATGAGGAGCAAGGTTGTCATAGGAGAGAATAGTAGAGAGGGCATACCTTGTGTTGTGAATCTGAGGCAGGGTTGATTGATTGGCCTTGCTAGACTGAAGAGAAAGATAACAATGGTAGTCCTGAAGAAGGTGAGCAGGTTTTTTTTTTTATTGTCTATCTGATTTTGTGGTGGGGATTGGTTGGGGTACTGGGAATGGTGGATGTGAAGGGATTGGATTGGGGGAGGGTGGATGAGGTGATGATGGTTCCATTGGAGTAGTGGAAGGAGATGGAGGAATATCTGGAGGAGTGGAAGTAGGTAAGGGAGGGTCAGAAGGTGGTATGGATGAAACAGGAAGAGAAGAGGGTGGGTCATCAGGAATGGGGTAAGATGTGGTTGGTAAGGGATGAAGGTTGTCACTAGAAGGTGAAGGTGGAGAGTCCAGATTGAGGGTTTTAAAGGTAAAATGGGATTCATAAAAAATCACATCTCTAGAGATAAATATGTCATGGTTGAACAAGTCATATACTCTGTAACCTTTGATCCCTTGCACATAGCCTAGAAAAACACCTTTTCTAGATCTAGGTTGGAATTTTGATATGTGATTTGCAAGGGTGCTTGCATAGCATAAGCAACCAAAAACCTTCAAATCAGTAAGGTCAGGAGGTTTGGAATGAAGTTTCTGATAAGGAGTTTGGTTTTATAGGACAAAAGAAGGGACTCTATTGATGAGATAGATGGCATGTTTGATGCAATCACCCCAAAAACCAGGTGGCAAATCAGCTTGGAATCTGAGTGCTCTTGCAACTGCAAGAATGTGTTGATGCTTGCACTCAACTTTGTTGTTTTGTTGAGGAGTTTCAACACAAGACATCTCATGAATGATTCCATTGGAATCATAATAGTCATCCATCTGAAATTCCTTCCCTTGATCCCTACGAATTCTTTTGATAGGGAGGTTAAACTGTTTCTGCATTTTGTTGCAGAATGTTATAAGCTGAGGTCTGGCTTCAGATTTTAAATGTAAGAGGACAATCCAAGTCATGCGAGTGAAATCATCAACAATGGTGATAAAATATCTATAACCATAATAACTTGGAACTGGGTTTGGTCTCCAAATGTCTACATGTAAAAGTTCAAAAGGTAAACTAGTTACATTCTGACTTGTAGGAAAAGGAAGTCTCCTTTGCTTAGAAAAGTGACAGACATCACAGGGAAGCTCTTTCTGAGTTTGAATGGAGGTACAAAACTGGGATAGGTAAGGGATTTTTGAATGGGCCAGATGCCCTAATCGAAAATGCCAAATGTCAAAAGGAACAGAAGTGGCTGTTGTGATGTGTTTAGGTATAGTATATGCTTCTAGGTAGTAGAGACCATTGCTCAATCTAGCAGAACCAATCATTCTCCTCTGCTCCAAATCCTGTATAACACAAAGGTTAGAAGAAAAATTCAAGGATAATGAGTTCCTGGTGGTCAACTTGCTCACAGAAACTAGATTGAAGGTAAAGTGAGGTATGTACAAAACATCCTCCAGAATTAATAGATCATTGTAGACTGCTTTTCCAATGTGAGTGGTTGGGATATGTTGGCCAGAGGGAAATGTGATGTAAACATTGCTCAGGGGTTTGTGATCAGTGAGATGATCGAGAGTGCAGACTATGTGGTCTGAAGCTCCAGTATCCAGAATCCAAGCGGATTGATCATGCAAAACAACATTCACAGTAGGTGATGAGATTAGGCATTTACCTGGTGTGTTTCTGTTAGTAACAAAAGCATCAGCTGAATATGATGGGGATTTCTGAGTAGCCATGAGACTCATGAGTCTATCATAGTCTGATTTGGTCAACTTAACCTCTTCTTCATCCTCCCCAGATACTTCATTGGCTGAATGCCTACCCTTACCAACACTAGAAGGACCATCTCGAGGTATGTAACCAGGTGGAAAGGCATGTTTGTGAAAACATTTGTCTTCTGTATGCCCTGGCTTTTTACAGAAAGTGCATTCAGTGATCTTGCCATGTTGAGGGGGTGGCCTTGAAAGGTTCATGCCAGGAGGATAACCATGTTTTTTGTAACATGTATCTTCAGTATGACCATCTCTCTTGCAGTAGGTACAATAGGGTCTTGTTGGTAAAATTAGGTCTCCTAGTTGTACCAGGAACTGCTAGAACAGTAGAATCAGAAGTTGCAGAAGCAACCATTTTTCCTCTTTGTGTTCCATACATTTGCCTCTCATGCTGTAACATTCTTTGAAAAACACGGTTTATGTTTGGTAGTTCATCACCAAACAGCACTTGAGACCTTACAGAAGAGAAATTTTCATTCAACCCTCGTAAGAACTTGATCACATAATTTGTTTCCTGATACTCATAGACTCGACGCATAGCTAAGTAATCAATGTGACTGGTAGGTGTACAAATGTAGGGAATCAAGGGCTGATAGTTTTCAAGTTCATCTCTATAAGTGATAACTTGGCCATAGTACTCAGTTATAGTCTGATTGCCTTGCTTCAAGGTAGACAAAGTTTCTTCTAACTCAGCAACCCTGACAATATCACCTGAACCATATCGTGTTTGAAGACTCTTCCATGCTTCTGAGGCAGATTTGCTTGAGAGAATGGTTTTGCGGATCTCAGATTCAAATGACTGATGGATCCAACTGAGGATCATAACATTGTTGCGAGTCCAAGTACCCCTTCGAGGATCTGTGGTAGCTGGCTCGACCAAGGTTCCATTTATGAAACAAAGTTTGTTTTTGGCAGCTAGAGCGTTGAGCATAGCTCTGCTCCAGTCATTGGAGTTGGTGATGTTGAGTTTCTCTCCCACCAACAGGGAACCTGGTTGCTATGAATCATGGAGGAAGTATGGATCTTCCAGAACGTAGTTTGTTTGTGGTTGAGGATGAACATTCTGTGCAGCAGCTTCTGCATTTGCTGCATTTTGATCAGCAGGTTGGGCCTCCATTGTTGCGACGGCTAGGGTTTAAAGGGCTCTAATACCATAACAACAAATGTGGTTTGGAAACCCTAGAATCACTTGGTTCTTCTCATTGATCAAACATCTGCTTATATAGTGCAGATCAAGGAGCTACAAGACAAGCTTCTTAGCTGTCAAAGAGTTCTGTCCTATTGCTTGGAATGGAAACAACAACAAAACTTAAACCGAAAGAAAGACAGACACTCAAATAGCAAAACAGTAGCGGAGTGGTGAACGACACAGTGGCGTTTTGCTTCATTCTTGATTGAAGGGAGAGAAGTAGCAAAACGACAACGGATAGGCAAGTGGACACGGTGGCGTTTTGCTGATCTGCAGGTCTTGGAAAAAGAAAGGATGATACGGCGACGTTTTGATGATTGTCGACCGTTGGGATTTGAAAATGATCAAAGATCATTCTCTGTTACCTTGAACTAAATAATTAATTACTCGGGCCTCCTCAACAGTAAGTAAGTTGTTCAACTAGAACGGCTTTCAAAACGGTCTCTGCTCCTAGTTCACAAAGTTAGTCGGGCCAGATGCAAGGGAAGCCGCAGCACCAGCTGGCGAGCAAGCAACTGACAATGGAGGTCCACACAATCCAGGATTCCTCGCAAAACTCAAAGCAGGGAAATTAGAAAACCCACTCGGAATCCGCCCCACCGGTCGATTATTCGACACGTTGAATCGACCGGAGAAATTGGTTGTGACGAGATCCCCAGGAAGCTCCCCACTGATCCGATTGTTATCCGCCCAAAACTCCACTAGCCTCGACATCTTCCTCCCCATGTCGCGGGGCAGAGCACCCTCAAAACTGTTGTCCGAAATCACGAGCCGTTTCAATTCGGTCAAAAGGGGGATAGAGACAGGAACAGAGCCTTGCAACTGGTTCCCGCCGAGGTACAGGTGGGTCAGGTTTGCGCAGCTCACGATCTCCGGCTGCAGCGGGCCGATGAAGCTGTTGTTTGTGAGGGAGAGTACGCGGAGGGAAAATTGGGCCGAACAGAGTTTCCTGGTTTCTAGGTATCCGCCGAGATCGAGACCTTTGTAACCGACGGACTGAAGGAGATAGAAGTAGAAGTAGAAATTGTATAAATAAAGAGCCGGGACGACCGTTGTAACTACTTTTGGCATAATAACAACTTTAACTTTCTCTCTCTCTCCTTTCTCCTTTCTCTGTCTCGTCTTCTTCCTTCCTTCCTTCTGCAATTCCCTTTCTTCTTCCCAAATTCCAGCTTCGCCAGGACAATCGATCCCTCAGGGAGTGACAAGGTGGTATCAGAGCCTGGTTTCGATCCAGGGACCTGTGGGTTATGGGCCCACCACGCTTTAGAAACTGATGCAAGTGAAATGGGCATAGGTGCTGTGCTGTCTCCGGAGGGCAGACCCTTGGCTTATCATAGTCAAGCTTTGGGGCCAAGGAAACAAGGCTTGTCGACGTATGAGAAGGAGTACTTAGCTGTTATCCTAGCAGTCTCTAAGTGGCACCACTATTTAGAGGGCAGGTCATTTAAGATTGTCACGGACCATGAGAGCTTAAAACATCGGCTAGGACAGAAGATACATACTCAGGTACTGGTGAAACTTCTTGGATTGGATTTTGAAATCCAATATAGACAGGGCAAGTTTAATCATGTTGCTGATGCCCTGTCCAGAAATCCTGACTTTGCTGCTTCTATGGCTAAACTTGGTAATTGTTGTCCCATATCTGTTGTCCTACCGTCATGGTTGTCTGAGCTAGAATCGACATATGCAGGTGATCAGGAGGTGCAACATATAATGGTGGAGGCTGCTGTCCCAGTTATTGGTCCTAGACTATTCTGGATTAATCAAGGGCTGCTTTATCACAAGTCTGCCATATATGTGGGTTCAACAGGTTCAATGAGACAGCAACTGCTGGGTTTTTTTCATGACTCTCCAGTAGGGGGCATTCAGGGGTACAAGCTAGTTATCAACGCATCAAAAGGTATTTCTGGTGGCCTGGCATTAAGTCTGATCTGAAGAATTACATCTTGTTGTGTGAAGTGTGTCAGAAATGTAAGGTGGAGAACATTCCTTATCCAGGATTGCTTCAGCCACTGCCAATTCCAGACCAGGCATGGAAGCACATCTCTATGGATTTCATCGAGGGATTGCCACATTCAAATGGAAAAGAGGCAGTCTTAGTGGTGGTGGATCGTTTTTCGAAATATGGGCATTTTTTTGGACTGTCAAAACCTTACACAGCAGTAACAGTGGCTCAAACCTTCTTTGATGGGGGTATTCAGGTTGCATGGGATGCCTGTGACAATTGTTTCCGATAGAGATGCCATTTTTACTAGCTCATTTTGGTCGAAGTTGTTTGAATTACAAGGGGTAAAGCTACATTACTCTACAGCCTATCATCCACAAACGGATGGGCAAACTGAAAGACTCAACAGATGCTTAGAGGAATATCTTAGAGGTATGGTTCACTTATGTCCACAACAATGGGCTTCATGGCCGACTCTTGCAAAATGATGGTACAACACGAATTTTCACAGCAGTTTGCAAATGTCCCCCTTTGAAGCTCTCTATGGTTATGCTCTAGCTCAGTTTGCCATCCAGAATCCCTTGTCCACCTCAGTGGCAGCAGTAGCAGACAGGTTGCAACAGCAACATCGTCTGGTTGACATACTCAGAAGCAATCTGGCTAAAGCTCAAAACAAGCAAAAACAGATGGCTGGCGCTCACAGGACTGAACGAATTCTGCAGGAAGGAGATCTATTTTACCTCAAGCTTCGTCCCTATCGTCAGACCTCAGTAGCCAGTCGTGCTAATCAGAAGCTGGCTCCTCGATTTTTTGGTCCATTTCCTATAGTAAAGAAGATTGGTGCAGTTGCTTACCGGTTGCAATTACCAGCTGACTCTGCCATACATCTGGTGTTCCACGTATCACTACTCAAGAAAGCCAGAGTTAACTCCCCTTTTACAGTGCAGCCACTCTTACCTGAAGTCGATGATCAAGGTGGACTGAAGTTGGCTCCAACAGCCATTCTGGCCAGGAAAATGGTGGTGAGGGATAACAGGGCAGCAACACAAGTCCTTGTACAATGGTCTCACCAAGGCGAGAAGGATGCTACGTGGGAGTTCTTGTCCGAATTCCAGCAGCGTTTCCCAGATTTCAAAGCTGAGGACAAGCTTTTGCTGAAGGAGTGGGGAGTTGTAACCGACGGACCGAAGGAGATAGAAGTAGAAGTTGAGTGACTGAATTGGAAATTGTATAATCTGTATAAATAAAGACCCGCGACGACCATTGTAACTACTTTTGGCATAATAAAACTTTACCTTTCTCTCTCTCCCTTCTCCTTTCTCTGTCTCGTCTTCTTCCTTCCTTCTGCAATTCCCTTTCTTCTTCCCAAATTCCAGCTTCGCCAGGACAATCGATCCCTTAGGGAGTGACAACCTTGTAGGACTAAGGCCGTGATACGAGACTCCGAATCGCAGGTGACCCCGGTCCAGAAACAAGGGTCGGAGGTCTTGTTCCATCCCCAGTTGGGGAGGGGAATGGTCTTGCCGCGGGAGAGGAATTTCATGAACTGGAGGAGTAGGGGCCTTACATCCTCTGTTTCTGAATGCGACGGCAAGGTTAGGAGGAGGAGGAGAAGGGTGGAAATGGGGATGACTCGGTTGGGGATTCGAAGCATTGCTGGTGGCTGTTTTGAGAGAAACTTCAGTTGTGGCTTTTTAAAGATGGTTGATTCCTCGGAAGCAAACGGACGCGATTGACTGAAACTTCAATGGGGAACTTTGTCGTAAAGGGAAGATGGAGCCAAGAAGAAGAAACAGACATCTGGGAAAAGCCATGGTTAGATGCCGACAATTTACATTCACAAGGATGGGGGAAAATACCGCTACAAGAAAAAGGCTATTTTGTGACCATAGATAGACCCGACTTTCTCATTTGATTATTTATTTACCTTTAAAGCTGATATGTGTAGTTTAAAAGGAGCTATTAGCTATTAGCTCACACTATTATTGTTAGTTTTGTGGATCTTATGGACCTCTCTCATGACATATAAACTATGTTGACAAATAAGATTTCAGCCTTAGAAGCAAACGTACGAGTTTCGCGTGGAGCCATTTTAGACAATTGTTATATGTTCATGAAGTATGTTTAATGCAACGCTCACTCTGAGAAGCAAACTAAGTGGCGAATGCTACGGTAGAATTATGGTATAAACGCTAAACTAGAGAATGTCTATATTCTAGTTAATTAGACAACAATAGAATGTGTGTTATAAAGAACACAATAACATAATTTACATCCGGCATTGGTAATTTATAGACTTCTATGTCCCATTTAATTTTGAGTTAATTCTCACTTTCAGTTTCATACATTACAAAAAATTCACATCGACCATCAAACATATTGTTAGAAACAAATTATTTGCAGCTTCTGGTTAATTCGCTTTATTTGTCGGTTTTGTTAATTGGGGGATTATTTGGGGTATTCGGGAAATAAACAGGGAGTCGATTGTTACGTTTTATTAGTTGGGTAGGAGATAGAAATTATGCGGATTATATAATCTGCAGTAGGGAGTTATTTTTCCATTAAGCAATAAAATACCAAAAACCTAAATCTACTCTCCCTCTCCTCTCTCTCTTCCTGCGTCCCCCTTCCCCTCTTCCCCTCCCAAAATCGACAGCAGCAGCTGCTCTTCTTTCCCCTCTCTTTGTCTCAATTCTCCAATTCCCAATCCCTAGCTAGGTCAATCCCTAATTGATCTAGCTAATTTCCTAATCCCAAACCCGTTAGAAACTTTGTTTCTAACATCTGGTATCAGAGCCTGGTTCAAGAGTGTGCGTTCCTCTAAGCTCTTGAACCAGGAAAGGCGACGATGGTATCGACAAAGTCCATGAAGGCAACAGAGAAGGCGGCCCGGGCGGCGGGGAAGAACTCCGAGGGGAGCGATTTAGGGCTCGACGGGGAGTTAGAGGATCTCACGGAGATCGAAGGGCTGAGGAAGGTCATGGAGACGCAAGTAGAGAGGCAGGCGAGGGTCGAGGAGGAGTTGAATGGTTTGCAGGTGCAAGCCAGAGATCACGGCCGCACTCTTGATGCGTTGTTGGCGGCAGTGGAGGCGTTGCAGGGGCAGGTGAGCAGTCTGACGGAGGCTTGAAAGAGAGGCGGGACAGGAGATGGGCGACGGTGGGAAGCCGCCGCAGGAGGGAGGCGCGGTGGAGGAGGGATCCGCCTCGGTGGCCCAACGAGCAAGGTGGGCTGGGGGCGGATGGTAGAAGGGAGGCGGGCAGCCTGGTGGGCTGAGCCCGGTGGGAAGGTGGGCCGGGAGGAAGTTGGAGGGAGATGTGCTGCGGGTGGGAGTCGGGGCGGCCGGGAGCAGCGGGCCGAACCCAACCGGGCCGGGTTGATGTGGGCCGAGAAGGGACGAGCCGGGCCCCCGGCGGTCGGGCCGAACTCGGTCGAACCGAAATTGGTCGGACCAAACCAGGTCGAACCGGTCCAGCCGTCGGGATATCCGTACCAGGCGGGCAGCAGAGGTTACCCAGGCCCGCAAGGCCAGTTCGACGAGTACTGTGGGCCCCTGCCCTCTTCTGCAATTCAACGGGGCGCCGGGAAGGAATCTAGGAGGACGTGGACCGGTGATCGGAGGACGAGGAATGAGTTAAGCGGGAGAGCGGGGTACCAGGAGGATGAAGGGGACGACTGGGGGTGCGACGTGGACCCACGATTCTCACAGCACTACCACAGTGGGGGTCCCAGCGGTGGAAGAAATGCTGGTTATTTCCGGGGTGGGGAGGAAGAGGATGACATGGTGTTTCGAGCTCGGCCTCCCACCATTGAGTTTCTCAAATTCAATGGTCGTGATGATGCAGGCCTGTGGCTATACTCAGATGAACGATGGTTCAAGAACCACCCCACTAGGGAAGAACGGAAGGCTCAACTAGCCTCCTTTTACTTGGAGGGAGATGCACTGCAGTGGTGGGAGTGGATGGAGCGGACATATGCGGAAGCACATACACTGATTACTTGGCCAATGTTCAAGGATGAGCTGCGGTATCAGTTCGGGAAATCGGAAGGATGGGCGCCAGAGCAGTTGGCCAAACTGCGTCAGACAGGAACGGTAGCGGAGTACAGGGCCGAGTTCTTCAAGCTGGGTAACCAGTGTATGGGGGTCCCCGAAGAGACATTGGTGGGCCTATGCATGGCGGGACTCCGCCCGGAGATTGCGGCCGCGGTTCGGGTATTCGAACCGGAGTCACTGCGAGCTGTGTTTCGTCTTGCAGGTAACAAGGAGGAGGAACTAGCTAGCTGGCGGGGAGTGATAGGCCGGTATCAGAAGCCGAGTGGAGAAGGAAGCGGCAGCGGGCCGAGTAGCGGGCGGGGGGCCCCGCCACCGGGACCGAGCACGGGGGGAGGTGGGGCGACTGGTCCACCTACGGCGGCCATTCGAGCAGGGCCGAGGGCCCCGCCCAAAGGGTTCACCAGGTTGTCTCCTGCAGAGATCGAGCTGAAGAGGCGGGAGGGGAAGTGCTTTAACTGCGACGAGAGGTTCACCTTTGGTCACAAATGCGGGAAGCCTGATTTAATGTTCTTGGTGGGGCGCTGGGAAGACGAGGCAGAGGATGAAGCCGGCGAAGACCCGGGGCCGGTGCCAGAATAGCTTCAACCTTGAGGACAAGGTTGCTTCCCAAGGAGGCGGGGATGTTAGAAACAAATTATTTGCAGCTTCTGATTAATTCGCTTTATTTGTCGGTTTTGTTAATTGGGGGATTATTTGGGGTATTCGGGAAATAAACAGGGAGTCGATTGTTACGTTTTATTAGTTGGGTAGGAGATAGGAATTATGCGGATTATATAATCTGCAGTAGGGAGTTATTTTTTCATTAAGCAATAAAATACCAAAAACCTAAATCTACTCTCCCTCTCCTCTCTCTCTTCCTGCGTCCCCCTTCCCCTCTTCCCCTCCCAAAATCGGCAGCAACAACTGCTCTTCTTTCCCCTCTCTTTGTCTCAATTCTCCAATTCCTAATCCCTAACTAGGTCAATCCCTAATTGATCTAGCTAATTTTCTAATCCCAAACCCGTTAGAAACTTTGTTTCTAACACATATTTCCTTCATAAAAAACCATCAAACATATTTCACATCAACCATCATATCAAATAAACTCAAGATATGCTACTTACATATGATGTATTACTAAAAGTTTGGATTTTGGCTTATTTACCATCTAATAAGGAATCTCTTGGCTGAAAAATGGTTTATTACCAGAAAATTGTAAGCACCATGATGCAAAATACACTGAATACAGTTAGTTATCAAGAATTATACAATCACGAGGTATTGACTTTGCATACGGTTCTGATAATGTGGCCAAAATGACCTTGGTTTGATATATTTTAACTTCAATGCTCATACTTGAAAATTCCATTTACAAAAGCTTGATGGAGATATTAGTATAGTTAGTAAATACTCCGTTTAATACACGTATATGTACACGTACGTATTTTATCCATTTTCGTTTAAAACTTTCGTTTTCGTATTATTGTCAAGCCGTTTCATTTCTTTTCATTCATTTGATGTCTCCCGTACTAAACACGTATAAAACCCGTATAACACATTTAATATCCGTATTTAATGAATTAAATTGTTAACTTTACTATTATTTATATATTTATATTATTTTTAAAATAATTAATTTTATATATTTATGATTATTAGCGTACTATTAAACATAACATTAGATTAAATATGAAGTAAAATACACATACGTATTTTATACGTAACATTCCTGTATCGTATTTTACTAACTATATTACCTTCTTGCTTGAAGATCCCAATGACAATGAGAAAATCACTTAAAACCACCATATGAAAATTCACTTACTAGGGAACCTAACCATCTTCGACATGCCTTGATCCAAATTTGGGACCATAAATTTCTTGTGAATCTTTATGTTAATGATGATAGTACTAGAACTCAAAACTATTAACAATTCTTAGTGATTTTTTTTTATTGTTGAACACCCTTGATAAAATAAAATAAAAATTGGATCTGCGATTGTGTATGACTTTGTTTTACTTTTCTCTTATTATATTTATCTCATCTCTCATTCTATAGGTAATGTTTAATAACCTATTTTCACAATACACATTATTCATAAAACAAAAAAAGATCAAATCTTGTTGAACCCCTACGAGACACTCATCTAAATCGTCCCTATTTGATTGTTTACATCTCAAAATTTTACATGTATGCTGAAACTTTCCGATATAATTAGGTATGGTTGATTTGTACCCTAATCAGATTATCAACTAACATTTGGATAGAAATCTTGTTTATTGGATTACTCTTACATCAATTGTAAATACATAAAAAAAATGTTAATTGGATTAGACTTACTGAATTACTTCAACTGTAAATGTCATCAAAGAAAGGTTATTTCTCAAGTATCTCACACTGTGAACTAGTTTTTGAACTGAGAAGCCAATAACACAAGAACCGATTTCAAGTATAGAAGGCGATGGGACTTTGGACTGCCGAATGGGCTTCAGCTGAAGTAGACACAACTTGGGCCTGGTATTCACCGGGCTGGGCTGACCGAACACGGCCCAATATCACCAGTAACTCGGACTCTACGCCGGCGCCGGCGGACAAGCAATTGGCAGGGGATGTCCGCACAATCCAGCATTACCCTGAAAGCAAGATTCAGGAAACCCGCCGTACGCATCAGGAATTCTCCCAACGAAATCGTTGTTCGACACATCGAATTCCAACAGCTTGTTCACATCGAAAACCGGGATTTCCCCGGTAAACCGATTGTTCTGTGCCTTGAACGACACCAAGCCCGAAATCCACGTCAGCTCTGTCGGAATCCTGCCGGCGAAAGAATTACCCGAAATATCGACCCGACCCAGGTTCCCCAACATGTTAATCGAACTCGGGACTCGGCCCGTGAACCGGTTCCCGGCGAGGTACAAATCCGTCAGGGATCTACATTCTCCAATCTCAGGCGGCAGCAGGCCGAAGATCCCATTGTTTCTCAGATCGAGGACGTAGAGAGACGGCGGCGGCGCCAGGTGGCAGAGCGAGGTTGGGTCGAATCGGCCGGAGAAATTGTAGCCGTTGAGGATGATTCCGGTGACGGATCGTGTTTCCGGATGGCAGAAGACGCCCGTCCAGGTGCACGGGTCGGATCCGGGGCTCCAGCCCCAGTTTTGGATCGGCGGGGGGTTTCTTTCCGACAGGGTTTCCATGAACCTGACGAGGGATTGGGTTACTTCTGGTGATTCTTCTGAAGTTGACGAGATGATCATGAATGTGACTGAAATTAGGAGGACCCATATGGGAATTCTTCTCGCCATTTCTGTTCTTTGAAGGATTGATTGTTCAATGGAGTTCTTGTTATTGGTTTTAATTGTTTTTTTTTGGGGGGCGAAGAAGGAAGAAAGTTTGGACTGAAACTTCGATGAGATAGTGAAGTCATTGTATCCTTTGTTGTATCGTAACTTGAAGTTGATGTTAATTCATGTATATAGTTTGAAATATATTACAAATAATTAGTCACTAATACAAATTATATTACCAAATAATTTATTGATAATTGAGCGAGTACATGAGATTATCACTTATATATCGAAATTCATCGTGTTTTGAAAATACTTTAATTCAGTTACAGGCTTAGTGGTCCTTGAATTGCTAGCTACGTGTAGTGAAGATGGAAGAAGTTTGGGCTGAAACTTCAATGAGATAGTGAAGTCATTGTACCTTGAAGTTGATGTTGATTAACACAATGTCATGATTACAATTCTCATATTTAATAGGATTTGTAGTATATTTGTACAAAGATGGTTTAGAAAAGAGAAATTTACACTAATTATATATGTAAAATAGTGTATCATTATATAAAAAGTGATCTTTTTATACAGAAATTTAATTTTTTTTGAGTATTTTGTTTAGAATCAGACTACTTATCATGGGATTGCTTACAATTTTCGCGATCGTGTTTTACTCTCCCATCTCCCACAAATCTCATTGGCTAAGAAGCCTATGCTTCTTCATTCAAAAGTCTTTTCCTTTCGTGGGTTGGGTTTCGACTTCATTCTTATTGTAAGTCAAAAAAATGTATCGGTTGATCTGTTTTCACAATACACATCACACATTATTCATAGAAGAAGAAAAATATAATTGTGTTGGAAACTGATGAGTCATGCTTTGAACTAGTTTCAAGAAGGTTAATTCTCAAGTATCTCACACTTTGAACTGGTTTTTTAGGTGAGAAGCCAACAACAAAGGAACAGATATCAAGTATAGAAGGTGAAAAAGAAAACACCGAGTAAGAAGGTAAAAAAGAGCTCTACTAACATCAGGATCTGTATTCTCTGATCCCTTACACAAAATTTACAGAGCAGAAAAGGGAGCTTTTTCATGGTTCTCACTTTCTTGCCCATGAGATTCTCAATCTGCAGCTTTCTGAATCTGAACTTTGGTTTTGAAGACCAAGATGTAGAGTTTCTCCATGGAGAAGTAGAGGAAACAGCTGGTTGAATGTGTGACAAATGACCCAAAACTGGAGCCCACAATGCAATGCCAGGCAGGCCCATACACCTTGTCAAACTCCTGCCACATCCACAAACATTATAATGCATGTCAGCCCATTATTATTATTATTATTATAATGATAATAGTTTTCACCCATACAAGTTACAGCAAAACAAAGAAAAAAGAAATTCAAATTTCAAACCAGCCAGCTAAAAGGGTTCCAAGATTTTGTCAACCATAGTATTATTTTTGGGAGGAAGTAATTGCTTCAGAAATCACATGCTGGACTGAAATTTTGACCATATTTTAATGGTACTGTGGCCACATGGCTACTAGGTAGCTAGTACTTTGATTAGAGAGAGAGATTTAGAATACTAATAGTGATCAAGTGATTGATTAGCCTTGTCATTTGTTATGGCTGTTAGGGTTTTCCACATGGGTTGTTGGATCACTGATCCAAATCATTCTCTGATTCATTCCATGACCCGAAAAAATGGAAATGGGTGCTGAATTTAGGAACTGAATTCTGCAAGAGGTAGATTCAAGGGACGATGTAGCAAAGTAGAAATCATGATTAACTTGCAGAAAATGGGTGGGACGAACAGTCTTGTCGATATTCATATACATTCAGAAGCGTTTTTTCGTTGTGTTAGATAAAGCATAAAGAAAAATATAGTACTAAGTTGGGAAATTGCAACTCGATTAAAGGGCATTAGTCCCTTTATCTAAGCACGTCCAAAATTGAAAATACTCTATCATCTAGTCCGAATGGAAAAATCATTTCAATCATTGAATGCTGAAAGGTGTGAAATCACTAGACCCACAATTCAACGACTGAAATCGTCTATCCCTCCGAATTGGAGAATTTGGATTCTCTTAAAACAGGAATTAGTGAGAAGAAGGATACGAAGGAAGTAAGTTTTTCCCGATTTGTACCTTTTTTAGGTTGTAAGCCATATGCTTGGAGCTGAACTTCTCCAAGCTATCAAAAGTCCTCCTGGCGCACCTGAAGGCATGAACCTGCATGAAACCAGGCATGTCCGTCACCAGAACCTTCACCTGAAGAAACTCCGCCACCGATCCCAGGTTGTTCTCCACATGAGAAACCGACTTCCTTCCCCTCTCCACCACCGCTCCGCCGCCGTCAAACCCTCGCCTGGCCGCCACCGGAATCACAGTCTCCTGACAGGTTCTCACCACAGTTTCTTCCACCTCATAACTGCAGCCACCGCCACCTGCCCTTATCGAAAGTGGACTGTTCAGCACTGCCCTAATACTCGGCGGCGCCGCCATAACCACTGGTTCTTGATGATCAGCTGCCTGCTGCTGCTTTTTGGCCAGTGTATTGCTGCTCCAAGACCCGAACTTGTAGAACCTGAAGAACCCTTTTCTCCTCTGTTTTTCCTGAGTAGCCATTTTTGCTGTCTCTCACTGAACAGGTTTCAGTTTTGAGTCAAAAGTTAGGATTTGTATGTGTGTAGAATAGAACAGAGGGGGAAAGTTGGAAGAGTATGAAATGAATTGAGACTGTTGGAGAAAGAAACTGATTAAATACCCAACAAACCATGTGGGTTGTTTTGTGTATTTTAATTTTGGCAATATTACTCTGTTTGTGTTTCTCTTTCTTTTTCTATGGATTAAGGCAGTGGAACTCGACAAAACGACTATCGTAATTCGATGTTATCGTTCTATCCTTGGTATCTATCACTAGATTAATGATTCTTCAGTTCACATCGAATATACAATAATGTGAAAATCTAAACTAAATTATTAATCATGATAGACTAGAAAATCAATCACAATGTTGCTTTCGGTGGAGTGTTCGACGATCTAGGCGGCCAACAAGAGCGAACTGGCCTCGAACCAATATGGATTGCGGGTAGACATGAGGGAACCACCCAAATTACTGATGACATTAGCAATCTAGCTTCCAAAATCGCTAGAGTGTCCAACGATCTAGAATTCACCCTAAACATGTGGTAGCTACCCAAATGTGTGTGGTAATTATTATTGTTGTTATTAAGGGTTATTTTGGCTAGTTGGGGAGAGGGAACAGGTTGTTATTAAGGGTTATTTTGGCTAGTTTAGGAGAGGGAACAGGACCCTTCAACTAAGGGCTCCCCTGCCCTCCAACCATCAATTTTGGGTTTTCAAAATGTTGGTAACAAACAAAATCAGTCTTTGTCTGAGGGTTGTGACAATTATGTATGTACTACCAAGTGGAATTTGCTGGAAGTTTTGTACACAGAACCTTGTAAATAATTTGATTGCATATCTTTTATGGGTGTTGATTAAGATGATTGTTTGTGATTGGAATGATTGATCTTTGTTGAGTCTATAACTAATTATGTTTAATATTATCTAATCTAAATGGGATTTCATTTTCATTAGCTTAACTGGTTTTTTCTCTATCGTTTATTACAACCCTACATCATTAGACCCTGTGCTGTCTTTTGACTAATAAGTTTAATAACCCCCAAATTCCCAGATTCCAAAGCACTTAGTTTTTCTTTTTCTCGAACAAGCTTTCAGAGCTCCGAGATGGCTCAATTTCTGGATTCCTAGGTGACCAAGTTGCAGCATGTGCAGCAGCCCCAAATTTTCTTGGCATTCACTTAACTAATGGGGAAAGCTAAACAATGGCTAAGTTGGATAATCCCACATCCAAAAGTTTGATTAGGAAGTAAAGAACATACAGATTTATATGGTTTACTAATATAATTTGTGTTAACTAATTTACGAGGATGAGACGCCAATTTCACCATATTTTAGGAGATACAGATTACAAAGAGATGAGAAGATATATATAACTCCTCCATGTTGCTTCCAGTTGACGATGGATAATCAATCTTCATATTATAGTAACCGCATATGAAAAAGAAAATGAGTGATAAATATTTAAAATAGCCAAGGCGAAAGTGATGGAGATATATATGATATTTTTTTGGTTTTGGTACATAATCCTGATAGAGTAAAGAGATGGGACAGATCTGAAGGAAAGTGGCACAAATAGATGAGGGAAAGTGACCCTTTTAAATGCAAAAATCATTCTCCTCAAACTAAATGTGACAGAAGAATTTTGGGATGGGTATGTCTGTTGGCATATAAAGTTTTGATTTGTGGTGAATGTTGTTATCTCTCTTTGGTTGTATTATTGTACTCGTTAAGTTAAAGGTATGAAAAGTACGCGAGTAAGTTCATATTCATCAAAGAAGTTAACGTATGATGCAAATAATGAATAGGTAGGGGAATAACATGTCAATTGTGTTGATGATAAACTATATTACAATTGAAAAGAATTTTTTCGGAGAACAATTGTCTAAATTATTCATGTCCCAAACACAATTAAAGAAAGTGTAAAATATCCGATAAACGATGATTAACCAGACACGAGACAACGATATTTACGTGGTATCCCCGATTGACGGGACTAGTCCACGGGAGAGCAAAGCTCTACCAGCTGATATTTTATTAGGCTTATTCTTCAATGGTGGCCGGCGGCCTTACATTGTATTTATACCCTTTCTCAATCTCAACTAGGGCATAACAGTGAGGGCAATCGAACAACGAACATGCATGGGAATTAGGGATCCTTGCACAATGCGCATAGGACTTGGACTTGTCCGAGGCCTCGGCAGCAGGCTGCTGGGCCGAGCCCATTACTCCCCCGCAAGCTGCACTGTGAAGATTACGAACACGCAGCTTGGACAGGAGAAAGTGAAAGCGATCCGCACCTAATCCCTTAGTGAACATGTCTGCGAACTGTAAATGAGAACTAATCTTGGCGGGCGCAATGTCACCAGATTGAACCTGCTCACGAACAAAATAACAATCCATCTCCACATGCTTAGTGCGTTCATGGAAGACAGGATTCTGAGCAATGTGAAGGGCAGCCTGATTATCACAATATAGCGGCGTGGAATGACGTTGGGGTGTACCAAGCTCTCGTAACAACCAACGTAACCATAGCACTTCACTCACAGTGTTAGCCATGGCCCTGTATTCGGCCTCGGCAGAAGACCGGGCAACAACCTGTTGCTTTTTGGTACGCCATGATACAGGGACACCACCTAGCATGATGACATAACCTGTAGTGATCGTCGAGTACTCTGACAACCGCCCCAGTCTGCGTCACAATAGGCAGCGAGATTAAGAGAATTGGCTGACGGGAAGAAGAGCCCCTGACCCGGCGCATTCTTGAGATAACGAAGGATCCTGGTCGCCGCATCCATATGGGAACGAGTGGGAGCATTAACAAACTGACTGAGAATGTTGACCCCGTACGTAATATCGGGCCGTGTGACTGTCAAATAAAGAAGGCGTCCGACCAAACGCCGATATGCTGCAGGATTGGGGTGGTCGGCTGGTGCAGGACGAGTGAGCTTGTGATTTTGCTCCACAGGAAAGGCACTGGGTCGGCTGCCAATAACCCCAGAATCGGCAAGGATGTCGAGTAAGTACTTGCGCTGACTGAGAACAACTCCCTCGGGCGTATGAGCAACCTCAATGCCGAGGAAGTAACGCAACGTACCTAAATCCTTGATGGTGAAGCGAGAATGAAGGAAAGCCTTGACATGAGTAATGAACTCAAGGCTAGTGCCAGCCAGGATAACGTCATCAACATAGATAAGAGCAACCACATGGATGCTTGATATTCGGCTTTAATATATCGGAATCTTGGACTTTATGTGATTATCCGTGGTATGTTTTAGCCAATTGGTGCTATTTTAGGGCTCGCTAACCCGAGAATGGTTGAAAAACCATTACTGCCTAGTGCCATGAGTTTGATGTATTACAGGTGAAGAAAACACGAAAAAGAAATTGCACCGGCAAACAATTCTCGAAGCTGGGCTCAAGGCCCAGCTGGATGGGGATTAATGAAATGGGCCAAAGCCCATTCGACTGGGCTCCTTTTGTTGGGCCGGATTTGCTGGGCCAAAGAATGAGAGTGGGCCACGGAACAGGGGACGGCGCATAGCAGGGACTTGGAACAAGCAATTTGAGCGGAATTCTCTGGAGGGGACACGCAAGCAAGGGTGGACCAAAAGGGAATTAAAGGAAGGGAGCAGCAGCATAGCCAAGAAAAAGAAGAAAAAGAAAGAAAAAAAGGAATCTTTTTTGGAGAGAAAAAAAAGGCAGCAGGCGCAGCCTTGGACCGGGGGAATTATTAGAAGCAGGCGGCACTTTTTCTCTGGGGGACGCGAATTTTTCTTGGGGAGAAAGAAAGAAAGCAGCGGAGAAAGGCAGCAGGGCGCAGCAGAGAGCGTATCGAGCAACGAGCAGTTTTTTCCAAGCGGCTAGAGCTGAGTTCAACGAGAGCGATTAGTTGGTTGGATTTTCTGAACCGAACTAGTTGTTTCTTGTTGTTTTAGAACATGATGAACAAAACCCTATCGATTGATCTTAATTTCGTCATGAACTAAACCCCAATTTCTGGGGGAAACACCATAGGATGTAGCTAGTTCTTGATTTGATGGATTGATTCATGATTCTTTTCTTCCAATCTCTATTGCATGAAATTGCTTAATGCTTTGTGTTGACTGGCCACCAATACAATGAATTGTAGTTAATTAGGTTATTAGCGACAGTGAAACCCTATTAACTGAACATATTTCATGTGACATAGTAACTTATCGAAGCGACAGTGGATTAAATAAGGTGCTATGCGGTCTTAAATAGGATATCGATCTTCAGACTATATAGTTAATTCATTGAGCTACGACAGTAGGATTTGAATTAATTGTTTAGTACGTAGTAATTCCCGACAGGGATAGCTAGCACATTCGTGATATCCTGGCTGTAGAGGTATGGATTAAATTGATTGGCATTTGTGAATTAATCTGGATAGGATAGGTAGTGAATCCCGGTGTTTCTCCCAGAGCTTTCTCCCATTGATTTAAACCCGATACTTTAATTTGCTTGTTTATTTTATTTTGCTAGTAGTTAATAATCTCATTAAACCATTTTCACCTATAGTTTGCTCTATTAAATCGGTAAATCTTAAGGTTGTACCAGTCCCTGAGAGACGATACCCGGACTTTCCGGTTTTACTACAAGATAGGAATTGAAGCTATACGCTTTTGCCCTATCAAGTTTTTGACAACCCCACACTCAATTGTTGCTTGTCCCTAAGCAACGACTCAAACATCAAAAACACATAATCATCCAAAACAATGACACACCACAGACTCAACACTCAAAGCAAAACACAAAATTTCCTTGTACTCTTGTTGTAATCAGTAGTTTCTTTCTCAAGGAACAAGTTGTGCTTTAATGGTCATACCTTTCACCCCACACTCAAGTTCTTTGCAACCCTTACCATTGACTGACTCGAATCCATCAAAAACTCAAATAGCAACACTCAATTTCGATCGTCGGTAGCGGGTGGTTAACAACTTATGGTGCAACAGTTATTAGGAGAATCTAACCACATCAGTGA